AGGACGCGCTGCTTCTCCGCTCAGCCGCGGGGCCTAGGACTTTCCCCAGGACCGGCACCCTGAGGACAGCGCCGGCTCAGCCTCCCGGACCCCCTAACCCAGAGTCTCCCCTGGGGCGGGACTGCAGCCGCAGGAGCGGGGCGGCACCGGGAGCCAGAGGGAGCCAGAGGGACGTCCACGTCAGTCCTCTTTCTCTAGACCTCCGGTCCTTGGTCCCAGCTGGAAGCCAGGACCCGCGGAGGATGGGGAGGGGAGGTCAGTTTGGGGCGCCCGGGGCCTGTGGGAGGCGGGAACGGGGCTTAGTTGGGAGCAGCGCCGGGGTGGGGGTGGTCGGGCCGCCAGACAGGTGGGGAAGGTGGGAAGGTCTGTCCACTGCCCACTGTGATTAATGAAGCAGGAGTTTATCAGGGGGCACATCAAACCTTCGTGGAGTGGATTTAGAATTACTCCCCCCAACCAGAGAACAGAAGCACAGGGGATCCACCCAGATGCCTCATTGTAGGCTGGGCAGTGCTGGGCGCAGTGACACACCTAGACTGTGCTTCATGAAAACTCGGCAGGACATCTGCCTGAGAGGAGAGAACGCTGCCTGGCAAAAGCATGGTCCACCACCCCGTCAGGCACATGCTCCTGTGTGCAGGTGTGTGCATGTGCACACAAGTATGTGTGAGATGTGTCTACTGGATGCCTGTATGTCTGTGTGTGGGTTTCTGTGTCTGTGTGCATCTATATATATTGGCACACGTGGTGGCAGACTTGGTTTGACCAGAGGTGAAAGTTGGTAAAAATTTACCAAAAACAGTTATGAATTAAGAAAGGTAGATTTATTAAAGGGAAGATACATTGGGAAGGACACAACGGGAGGACAGCAGAGAGTGTTTGCTGTTGTCTGCAAAGAGGCAGGGGCTAGATAGAAGTATTTATAAGACTATTGGGGTCTAGTTTGGGCTGGGGAACTGTTTTGAGGGAAGGTCTGCAAAAGGAAATTTCCAGAGGTTTGTGAAGCAGCTGATTGATTGTGGTGTTTTGTTTCTTTAAGATAGAGTTAATTAACAGCAATAGTTAACTAGCAACAAATGGTTAACTACTTTTTGTTTACTGCAAAGATTTTACAGCTGGTTAGTAATCTTTTACAATTCTTGTTGTTATCACTAAGTTATAACTAAGTTTCTTTGTAACATTTGTAAAATCTCATTCTGAGATTTCCTTCCAATTTATCCAGTTGATGCCCACCTAATAGGGCCTCATCTTTCTCCACATGTATGTCTGTGTATGTGTGTGTGTGTCTGTGAGTCGGCGTGTCCGTATGTGCATCTGTGTCTGTGTATGTCTCTGTGTCAGCATTGGTCTGATTATGGCATCCGGAGCCTCATGCTGTAGCAGTCACACTGCGGGAAAGGGCTAATCTCATCCCACTGCCTTCCTGGTGTTCACCAAGGGACCCTGACCATAAGGACAGCCCTGTGTCTCTCCAGCCAAAGTGGGGGACACTGGCAGGTAGGCCTCAGACAGTGGTGGGTGGGCAGGGCCCCCTTGCTCCCTGGCCTAGATTTCTTGGGCCTGCACTGTGGGCTGTCAGGCTCTGGGGTGGGTAAGTGGGTTGGGGGCGGCTTGATGGGGAGATGGAAGGAGCTGGGGCTGGGGTCTTGTTATACTGTTGGGCTACAGTGTTCACCCAAGCCCTCCTGGCCAGCAGCCCCTGGACATCACTGTGGGAGGATGTGATTGGAGTCTACAGGCTGGCTGGCTGGCTGGGGTGTAAGCATGGCCAGGCCCCACCTGAACCTTCAGTCTAAGGTGCCACCCCAGAGTCAAGTGCCTGCTCCCATCCCTGACACTCAACTAGTGAGTGCGGCCAGCACACAGCCACACGCGAGTACTTGTGGATTACTATTTTTTTTGAGTTGGAGTCTCACTCTGTCGCCCAGACTGGAGTGCAGTGGCCGCTCCCGGCCACCGCAGCCTTGACCTGCTGGGCTCCGGCAATCCTTCCGCCTCAGCCTTCCGAGTAGCCGGAATTACAGGCGCATGCTACCACGCCCGGCTAATTTTTTGATTTTATTGTAGAGATGAGGTCTCACCTGCCCAGGCGGGTCTCGAACCCGCGGGCTAAGGCAATCCACTCACCTCAGCCTCCCAAAGGCACGGGATTACAGGCTGAGCCACCGAACCCAGCTGTGGATTACTATTAAACACACAAGAACCCCTAGAGTTCATGAAGTCTGGAACATAGGATCCATTCCCAACATGACTGCTTCCTCTCCAGCCACCTGCTTTTCTGTCTCTATTTGCCATCCTTAACACTTTCTAACACAGCACATGGCACCTGCGGAGCTCTCCTGAAGCCCACACCCTGGTGTCTGCGGCTGCCCCTCGCTCTAAGGTAGGCAATCTTTTAAAAAAAATTTTTTAATTTTTTTTATTATTATAAAGATGTGGGGTACAATTCAGGGTTAGGTATACAAACTTTGATTATGCATAAGGTAGGCAATCTTACACAGGTTCCTGAAAGGTCTTCATTACCTAAGGTGGGGGAAGAAGGGGTGGGGAAGAGGAAGGAAAGGGAGGGTCGCTCCCTGAGCCTCCCTGCTGTTCCCTCAGATCACCTGCCTCTAAATTACAATCGCCTGGGGCAGTCACTGCCCCCACCCTCCCCTCAGCTCCTGCAGGAATCCTGAGCTTTGTCCACACACAGGGATTGGAGCTTCGCTGGGCAGTCCCTTCTGCAAGCAGAAGCAGATTCTCTCTGGCTCCACTCCTGTGGAGACAGATGGGGGCTGGATGGGAGGAGGTGGGTTTCTTAGGGTCTCTGCATGGATTCCTTTCAGGGCTGCTGCTCCCAGCACACCTATGCACCCTGCACCTGCTTGTCACCAGGCGGGGATGGTGTTGGGAGCTGTCAGCAGCTGTGCCGACTGCTGGCTCCTAGGGGCAGGCTCTCCATGGTGGTCATGATGGTGCTGCCTGGCCCCTTGCTGTTTGTCCCTGCTTCCCCTCTGGCTTCCTAGCCCTGTCCTGCTCACAGAGGGGCTATACTGCCCCGCCCCCCATCATCGCATCAGTGGACTCCTCTGTGCAATTCACACGCAGACAGCGAGAGGAAAGGATGACACTTTGAAGCTTTCACCCCTTCAGTCTTTGAGCCGGGGTCTGCAGGGGAACAGGCTCCTGCTGCCTGGAGAAAGGTGGGTGTGGAGGAGAGGGCAGCAGGGCCAGGACAAAGACAGGCGCTCTGTCCTGCAGCTCCCCCTTATATCTGCTAGCTACCCCAGACCCTGCTTTCCAGCCAACAACCCTTTGTAAAGTTGGTTTGAGATTTGTTTCTGTGGCTTGCAATACAAAGAGAAACTCCTGGAACAGGGTCAGAGCTGTGGGTGGCCATCGAGTGCAAGGGCCCCTGGGGGCTTCCTGGGTGGGTATGAGGCTGACAGAGTCAGATGGCACCCCACACCCAGGAGACAGGGCTGTATGAAGGGTCCTGCAGGTTGGGACTGTATCTGTGTGTCTACACGTAGGAAGGGGAGGGGTGGGGGTGTTTCAAGGGGGTTACTTTCCACTTCACATATGAGATCTGGCAATCTTGGGCTGTGGGTCCCACAGGGGGCCACTTCCTTTCTGATCTGCCAGTCAGTCTTCCTGGCCATTCCTTTGTCCTCCATACCACCCCCAGCTTTGCTTCCTTCTACATGGGCCTGCCCTGCAGGGTAGCTGGGGAAGAGTGACCTGTGGTGGCCATGCTGCGTTTCCTGCATGGGCATGGGTCTTTCAGCTGGTGCTGTCTGTTAAAGCCCAGGGCCTTTGTAGGAGAATGGCCGAGCTGTCCCAACCCCATATCTTCCTTCCAGAGTATGACTGTGGCGGTCTGTCCTGCAGTGCCGCCTGCCCCTGCAGCTGCACCTGCAATAAGGCAGCTCCCTAGCAGCTTTCCTCACTGGGAGTTAGGGGAAGTGTGGCCCCAAGCCACGTGGCAGACTTCCTTCCCCTCAGTTTCCAGCTCTTCTGCATTGGCCAGCTGGGTCAAGGTCAATCGGGAAGGTGGGCTGGAGGGGAGATCCTGGAGGTGCCGGCTTCCGGTCTGGCCATCTGCACACCTCAAGGGCAGGCCGTAGGAGCCCCACATGGATGATAAGGAGGCCACCACCAGACCACACGTGGGCCAGGCGAGCCCAGGCCGGGGGCGACTACAGCCTCCCCTGCCCGGCTTGGCACTGCTACCCGGAGCCGGCTTTCAGTCGGCCAGGAATGCAAGTCTTGAAGTGCGCGTAAAGGGAAAAGCAAAGGAACGCCTTGTCCAGGACGGCAGGAGGGGAGGGTGTCCGAGGTCCGCTGCAGGCTGGGGGCGGAGAGGGGACAGTTGCCTGCAGGCAGGCCTGGACGCCCGCCCCGTGGGGGTGGGGCTCCGAGAGGGACTCTCTGGGGGCGGGAGCCGGGCGCCGCGGGGGTAGGGGCCGCGCGCCACGGTGGGCGGTAACGAGGCCGCGGAGAAGCTGGCGCCGCGTTCTGACGCGTGGGCTTGCGTACGCGTACACTCACTACGGGACTCGCGCGCCCGCGCCGTGAGGTTGTTCCCGCGGCAGCGTGCCCCGCCAAAAGCGAAGCCCCGCCCGTCTTGGCAGGGTGTGGCCACCTGGGGAGGCCCCGCCCCCTCCCGGCTGTCCCGCGCTTGCCGCGCTGCATTGTAGGCGCTGTAGTCCCGGCGTTTGCGTGTGAGCCGGCTGGGTACCCGGAGCTTGTGCGCCGCCGGCCCGCCTAGCTGCAGGTACTGCAGAGAGCGGGGCTGCGGGGTCGCGAGCCGGGAACTGCAGGGTGTCGGGTAGGCCTGGGGTGAGTGAGGCGGATGGGCCAGGGGCTGCAAGGCCCTAGAATGAGTACGGTGCACAGGGAATGAGGTCTGCAGGGTGTGTGTATTGGGGGGGGGGGCTCTGGGTTGAGTGCCCGTTATGCGGGCTAGGGCTGCAAGGCCTTGAGGTGGGTGTGGGGGACGCGGGCTGGAGCTACAAGGCTCAAGGGTAGGTGTGGGGGACTCGGGCTGGAGGCTGCAAGGCCCCGGGGTGAGTGCGGAGAATGGGACGGGGTCTGCGAGGTCCTGGGGTGACTGCGGGGAACAGGGCTGGGGTCTCGCCGTAGGCTGCATGCGGGCTGCGCCTTGGTGCGCGGTGGCAGAGTCGCTGTGCAGCGGGCTTCCCTCCGTTGACTTCTTGCTCCAGCCGGCTAGAGGGGGCTGTGAGCGCCGCCCTGGCCTCCGCCGTCATCCTTGGGCGCCGAGTCCCTCCCCTGGGACTGGAGGAACGCGTGAATCTGGCGTGCGCGCCAAGGCACGCTGCCCGGGCCGGGCCCCCTTAGAGCACGTGCTGCTTTGAAACCGGCAGCCGGCGGGAGAGCCCTGGCCAACCCCACGTGTCTGGCGGGCCGCTGGAACGCCTCCAGTTCCGTTGTCTCCAGCGCCCAGAGCCTTGTAGATGCAACTTCCCTCTGGAGCGGCTCTTGTCACAGTTCCAGCAGCGCAAACAGAACCTGTCTGGAGCCTGGACAGTGAGCTAGGAGTCTTTCCTGAGTGGTTTCTTTCTGACATCTCCACAACTGGAGAACCATCTCCGAGGGTCCTATCATCCAAAACGCTTGTCCTGGGGAGTTCACCTGCCTAATCTTAGGACACTGGTTAATATCTCATTAACTCTCCCTGAAAACCAGAATGCATGCAGGAGTGAGGGTGGACTAGAAGCCTTGGAGCTGCCTGCTGCGTCTTGTAAAGAAGTGGTCTCCCCCAACACCCAGGTTGAATCAGCAGAACCAAGGACCCTCTGGCTGCCCCCTCTAGACTTGGCAGCCTAGATTGCATCTCACCTATTATCTTTGTATGCACTGCTCAGTGTACTTGCTACTTGATGCCTTTCAGTGGGGGCCTTGGTGGGTTTTTTAAGCCAGATATTGCAGTTATCTGTGCTGGACAAAGATAAGAGACAGGGTGCTTATAGGTTTGGGTCTACAGCATGTGATGGCCAGAGGGTTTAATTATACATATAGGAACACCGAACTTGGTTCAGTGGGGAAGGGTGCCAGGCTTTCTTATTTCTACTAGCATCTAAAAATGTAACACCCTTCCTGGTTAGCCATTGAGAGTTGCAGCCTTGGCGGTGTTGGCTTTTGTTTGATTCTGGATCTCCAGACTTCCCAGGTGCTGAGGGAACAGAGCTTGGAGGCTGGCTAGAGGGGACGGTGGGGTCTGGAACTTGGGGGTGGGGGGCTGTTAGAACCTTCTCCCAAAGGCAGAAGTCCTCAGTCCTTTCTCATGACCCTCCTGGGCAGCTGAAGACTTCCTTCAGTTGCCTGGAAGAGGCCTGAAGTTATATGTACTGGGCTGAGGTCAGGACAATTGGGACCTGTGCTTGCCCAGCTGGAGCTTGGGGCTCATTTCCACAGCTGTGAGCTTGTGAGCTTGTGACCAAGTTCTTCATCTTTTTCTGGGGAGTGTGAGCCTCTGCAGGGCCCATGCATTAGGAAGCAGGGTCTGTGGTCTGCGGTGGAAACGAGGACTTTGAGTCTTAGCCAGCTGCTGACCACCTGGCAGATTATTTGCCTCACGTGTTATGTGAACTGGTAGGGCAGACAGACTGAGAAGGGCGGAGCCCTCCCCACCTCCAGCCTCCCCAAGCCTGGGCTGCCTTTGATCCTCAGCTCCCTGTGGTGGCCTCAGAATCCTGCAGACTGTAGAGTAAACAGGGCTGGACACCAGCCCTGCTCCAGGGTTCAGCTTGCTGTGTCCTGTAAACACTGGTTTGTTTGGTCCTGTGTAGTCAACATTTTTTCCATTAGTGGCCAGCGTGAAAAACGGATTTCAAGATGTGAGGTGGTCTAGGGCCCCAGTCAGCCTCCCAACAAGCCTCTGCCAGGATTTCCACCTGGTAGGAATGGGCTGGAGGGGCAGCCTGTGAAGTGGGGAGCTTGCTGGGGTCAGCCCTGGGTGTGGGCTGGGGCGGAGCTTGCAGGAGGCTCCTTCAGGGGGCAGTTTTGGGGGTGCCCCACACAGGCCCGATCTAGACGCCAGCCGGCCCTGTGCCCTTGCTCCCCTGGATTTTTGGCCCCTGATCCTCTGTGCAGTTGTGCCACCAGGATGAGGCTTAGTGCCTTCCCAGGCCTCTCCCGACTCACCTCTCAGCTACATCATCATCTAGCCCTGTTGGTGCTCAAATGACCTGTTTTAAGTTTTTGGAAGTATTTCTCCAATAGCACTGTGGAAGACGCACAACAGAGATGCACATTCCAAAGTGGAGATGAGTCTCATGTACCCAGGGGGGTCCCCTTAGTTTGTATAGATGCTGTCACTAGCAGCTTGTGTGGTGGTCTTGCTGCATCCCCCATGGGATAACAGAACTACATGAGATCCCTACCCAGTCAGAGGCTTCCTGTTCCCCTGTTGTTGCCCTGGGTGCCCCTGTAGGAGCACCTTTCACCAGGAAGGGCCCCTGGAGAGGTGGTCCAGGACTCCACCCCTGAGGACTTACATTGGTGGGAAGGACAGGAAGAACATCTAAAGCAGAAGTGAGGGTGGCCATCTCTGGAGAGAGGCTGGGAATCTGGCACTGTCCCCGCTTATCCTTTCTGGTTGCTGTTTCTGCCTCCTGGCACGAGTGGTTGGTGGGCTGCCTCTGTGGGATGTAGGGGCTCAGGACCTCTTAGGACAGGCAGGCCACCTTTACACCTTTGTCAGTACACATACAATTTGGATCGTGTCCTGGAAAAGTATGTCCCTGGACCCTGGGCTGAGGAGCAGGGAGAGCTGGAGTTCCGCCTTGCAGGGAATGAGAGGTCACGTGGACCTGGGGTTGCACTCCTGGGTGAGAGGGCATGCTTAACATTCCTGTGGGGACCTTGGCCAGGAAATGGCCCCATGGTGTCCCTGCTGAGCAAGTATTTATGGAAACCATCCAGGTGGAAGGCTTTGCCTGGCAGGGGACCCCAGATGTGAGACATGCCTGTGTCATGGAGCCTAGGACTCAGAGTGAGCTCTTGGGGACACGTCTGGTTCCTTAGTTCCTTAGACCACCAGAAGCAGGTGGTCTAGGGCCCCAGCCAGCTTCCCAAGCCTCTGCTAGGATTTCCACCTGGTAGGAATGGGCTGGAGGGGAAGCCTCTGAAGTGGGGAGCTTGCTGGGGTCAGCCCTGGGTGTGGGCTGGGACGGAGCTTGCAGGAGGCTCCTTCAGGGGGCGGCTTTGGGGGTGCACCCACACAGGCCTGATCTAGACGTCAGCCGACCCTGTGCCCTTGCTCCTCAGGCTAGCTTCTGTGTGCTGGGCTCCCTGATCAGCACCTGTGGTGGGTTCTTGTGTGTGCTAGTTTCTTCTGGGAAGTGTGACTCCACCTCTGCATCATGATCTGGAGGACAAGCTGGCCTGTCCACTTCCTGGGGCCCCTGTGCTAGGACTGGCTATTCTGGGAGCTTCTTCCCCACAAATGGGGAATCCCAAGCACAGACTCTCTGGTGTGGGCAGTCACCTGCCCTGGCCTATCTGGGCTTGTTAAAAGGCAGAGTCCTGGGGCACACCCATACCTTCAAACGGGCACTGTCAGCAGGGACCTTGAGTTCTCACAGTGGTTGAAGGAGCACAGCTCTGGATTTTGGAACCTGAGGAGTCCTTGAGGATGTGGAAGTAAGTGTGCACTGTGCTGATGAATAAGAACATTGCCATTGCCTCAGGATTCCTGGTGATATCAAGTAAGGACTGTTCTTGCCACCTCTGGAGGTGGCACCTTTCAGAACAGGGTGGCAAAGTGCCTGGGGGCTCCTCAATCCCTGGGGATGCTGTGGAACCTGGTTAAATTCTTGGTGCTCCCCTCAGCAGGGGTGCCATAGTTGAGGTAAGAATACAGTTGCCCTGGGTAAGTATACCTGTCTACCCTTGCTTGGAAGTGGGAAGGTGAACTTGAGGGAGGTCCCTGGGCTGAAATGGGGTCCCAGTGGGGAGAGGTGGGTGCACTCCAAGTTGTGTTCTGCTCTGCCTGTGGCATACCTGTGCCCTTTTGGGCCTCAGGGTGCCTGTGAAAGAAGCCACACTTTCCTGACTTTACCTATTTCCTGGGCTCCCAGGAGGTATGGGAAAGCCAGCCCTTGGACAGTGAGCATCAGTGTGAGTATGTGGCCCATCCTACCCTTGGGCAAGGCCTTCCTAGGTGGTCCTTTGAGAACTTCCAGGGCTCTGCTGCCTCCTCAGGAGGACACTATCACACCAGCTTCCCAGCCTGCCCTTCCTTTGGAACTCTCGAGTTCTGAGACTGCCCCGGTTCCATCCTCCACAAGCTCACCAGCCCCTGCTGCTTCAGGGGTGCATGACTGTCACCTTGCCTGTGTTCTCTGGTCATGGAAATGAATGTGTAGGGACTTGAAGATGAATCCCAAGATAATTTTGATGCTTCCCAGTGCTTTGCCTGCACAGGCCTAGGAGGGGCCTCATCTACCCTGGTGGATCCCTGCAGGTCACCTCTTTCCTAAGCTTCTGTGACAAGTGACTACTTCCAGCCTGAGTGGTCTTGGAGCCCTGTGACTGAGTGCCAAAAATCTGGGGCAGCTTTTCCTTGGGTACCCTGGATCCCCAACACTGGCCCCACATGTGGAGGGAGTGCTCTGTGTCTCTGCTTGGGGGTTGGAGAGGATTCTCCCCAAATCCAGATCCCCTGCAGACACCCTTCCCAAGCATGCTAGTGCGTGGAGCAGTTGTCCAACCATGTGTCAACCTAGGGCAGAACAAATGGCAATCACATGTGACTGGCCATTCCTCTGCCAGGCCTCCGTGCAGTAGTCCCCACTGCCCTCTGCACCTGGTGTGTCACCTCTCAGCCTTAGCAATGGGTAGTCCTTCCACATGGACCCACCGGACCTGGCCTCTGAATGTGGTCAGCCTGACACAGACACTGGCTTGGCACACCCGTTGGGGGCCAGCAGGATGGGGCTGGTCATCATTAGGTTAGCCTCGTGTGAGCACTGTCCCATGCTTCTCATGGTGTTCACTTTTGACTTACTTGGAAGAGAACTTTCTATCAAGACCTTCAAGGAGAACCAGTACCACTGGGCAGAGCCCATTGGGGTGAGCAGGCATGGCTGTGGCCCTCTGTCAGAATGCTTCCGGTGGGGAAGTACACCAGAGAGAGCCCTTGCCTGGGCCTGCATGAGGCGAGGCCAGCCTAGGGGGTCTGGCTGGACAGCTCCCAGATTGGACTTGTGTTGCCCTGGAGGGAAGGCTGGCATCCAGAACATGTCAGATCTGCCTCATAGCCCCTGCCTGGTTGCTTCTCTGTAGAGGAAACTGCTTCCTGGGGTGCCAGATCCCTGGGCTCAGGGTCTGGACTTCTGTTCTGTTGCATCATCCCTCCAAGCCTGTTTCACCCTCTGGTTGCCCTCTGCCCCCTCCCCCCGCTTTGGGCTTGACCTACAGTGCCCTCCTGTGTGGCATCAGGGACTGTGTTCCCCATACTTGTGTGTAAGGTCTACTCCAGAGGCTGATAGGGACCTCCATCCCTGGCAGTTCTCTGACCTGTGGTTTGTGCCTCCAACCACCTGCTCCTGACCTCCCAGCAGGGCCTGTTCCTACCTGTGTCCTCCCTGCACCATTTCTGTGCCACTAAAGCACAGGCTAACCTAGGCCTATAAGGGAGAGAGGTGTGCCCAGCATGACCACCATAGCCATAGTGTTGCCAGGCATTGAGATGAGTGGTGTGCCCTCAAATCCTGAACTTTAAATTGTGTTGATTTCATTAATGCAGTAAGTCAGTTTGTTAATTCACTTGGTTTTGATGAGCATTTAAATCATCCCTGGTGGTTGGAACTCATATCTGTCTTGGAGACCTCTGGAGGTGGTGACAGTCTGGGTTGGGCTGCCAGGCTGATTCAGGCTCTATGGTTCCTGGGTTGGCCCTGTGGGGAGAGCATGGGGCTGGGTCTGTACCGGCCAAGGTTGACAGTCCCAGCTAAGCTCAGGAGCCCTTTCAGCCAAGCCCTTTTCTGGGGACTCAGGTACTGTGTACCTGAGCCACCCTGACTCTGACCTTTCCCTCCAGGTAGATTATCACCTTCATCCCCTCCAGAGTTGCGCTTGGGCCTGGCCAGCATGGTGCCCTCCAGCCCAGCAGCAGAGAAGCAGGCCCCTGTGGAGCCTGGGCCAGACCTGGAGCGCCAGTCGTGGCAGTGCCTCGTGTTCTACCTCTGCTTCTATGGCTTCATGGCACAGATGCGGCCTGGTGAGAGCTTCATCACACCCTACCTGCTGGGGCCTGACAAGAATTTCACCAAGGAGCAGGCACGTGAGCGCTGGGGTACAGGGGCCGCTGTCAGTGGGTGGGCAGAGGAGCCGTGGCGCGGGGCAGGGCCTTGTCTCCTATCGGACATGTGAGCAACTGAGGCTGAGAAGGTAAGTGGCGTTTCAGCTGATGGTGGTCCAGAAGGAACCAGGCTGGGGTTGGACGGGACAGAGGATGGGGGAGGGGTGACTTCAACTCACTGACCAGGCCAGATGGAAAGTGGTCTGTGTCCTACAAAGGGACATGTACCTGCTTCAGGTCTCTGAGGGGGATTTCAGATGAGGTGTGCTGCCCCTGCCAGCCCTGCCTATTTGCCAAGCTGGGCACATCCGCCTTCCTGTCCAGCCGTGTTCAGCCCTGTTGGATACCTGCCACCAGTAGAGACTTAGCATCTGTTTGCCTAAAGAGATTATTGAAGGAATTTTCCTTGTACTCTGCCAGAAGGACAAAGGGATCTATTGAAACCTTACTAATAAATTTATGCCTGGTCACGGGTCCCTAAGGTCCACGAGGAATGGCAGTAGTAATGGACTGTATCTGAAGGAGCTTCCTTCTTGGACTTTTGATGTGTCCTTCTACATAAAGCACTGCCAAACAAAAGATTCAGGAAGCCCTTGTTGATGATGTGCACTTTCATAGCTGCCCTCCCAGCTCAGGGTCCCCTTCCCAATACTCGTCTTGTCAGGACCCATGGTGCTGCCTGTGAGCCTGACCTAGCCTACTCACCCTGTGTGCCCTCAGCCTTTGTTCCCTGCAGTGTGGTCACCCAGCACTTGCACCCACATGGCTGTCACTGGACCTTGTTTTCTCAGTGAAACCACGGCCTCCTAGCCTGGAGACTGGCCCCTGTCCTCACAGACCCCAGAACTGTTAAACTGGCATGCAAGTGAGGAGTGTGCTTTTGGAAAAGTGGAGTGCTGCTTGAGCAGCTGGCCTACACAGAGCTCCGCATGTGTGGTTGCATGGTCCCATGGCCAGCACTGTGCCACCAGGGCTAGGGCACTTTCTCCGCGAAGCCAGGGCTCTTGGCTCCACTGTGGGTGACGGGGCTGGTGAGTTGTCTCCGTGCCCCCTCATGGCAGCACCTTCCATCATAGCCTGTGTTCCCTCACTCCACTCCCCAATGGGCCAAGTGGCCCCTGTGTTCTCAGTAGAGGGCTACTGTCCACATTGAGGCTCTTATGGGAATGAGCATATGTATGGCATGTCCACAAAAGTAACAAAGTAAAAGTCTATAGCAAAAACATTAAAATCCCACCTACTTGCCTTCCCATATTGCACATTAACTGATTAAAAACTAGATTTCAGGGATGCTGCCATTCCACCAGGCCTTAAATGTCATCAGACAGCTGGTGGTCACAGGCAGGCTCTGCCCACGGGTGCTGGGTTGGATCTCCTGGCCTGAGCAGTCCTGTCCTGCTGTGCTTGTGTCTAGGAAGCTCACATAAATGATGTCATGGGACACATCTTTTCTAGCTGCCTTCCTGCCCAGTCTGACTTGGGGATCAGGGCTGACGTGACCTAAGTCATGCCTATGGGCTTGAACCACGGGGCATTTATCTGGCATGTCACAGGGAGATTGGGTAGTCCCCAGCTTTTCACCATTGCAGGGGATGCTTGGTCCAGGGGACATGCCAGCATCCTTGGGCTGCGGGCCTGACAATAGGCCAGTTTTTCCAGCTCACCTCTAGCTTGAGGGTGGTCTGCTGGGCATCTGCTTGCTGACAGTTGAGAGGAGCCTTGCCTCCTCTGCTTTCACCTGTGTTTCCTCCATTTTCCCATTCCCCCATGCAGGTGGGCATTTCCGGGCTGTCCCATGCCAACTGTCCCCTTTGGGCCTGGTTACCTTTCCTGCCTGGTGAGAATCCCAGTGCCTCTGGGCTGGACACCTTGCTGCTGTTTCTGTTGCCAAGATTTCTATTGGTGGTTTATGCCTTGAGTATTTCCTGAGAAGTCCTTTCTGTGCCCGAGTCCATGGAGATGTTCCTGTGAGGGCTCAAGGTTTTCTGGGACCCTTTGGAACTGTGCCGTGGTGTGAGTGCAGCATCCACTCCCCATAGCCCCAGCCCTGGGACAGCCCAGGACCCTGCTTACAGCCGCCCTTCCTTCCCAGGGCTCAGCGGAGGTCATTCAGTCCCTGTCAGCCCATTGGATGCCCTCCTCCTGTGACGTCTCCCCCTTCAGTGGGCCCCACACCCAGCCCCACCCACTTGTCCTGCTTGCCAGAGGTCTTGCCTGCCTTCCCTCCTCCCTGTTCAGAGAAGCCCCCACATGAAACTGTCTGGGTCTAGATTTGGGGTCAGCTCCCTGTACTCTGCCTACTTGGCCTGGACCTGGCCCAGGGCCTGCTGAGAGTGTCACAACGCTGAGCCCAGGTAGTAGGCGACTCTCCTTGTGTCAGAGCCATGGCTGCCTGACAGATGCCACCTGTCCTCTCCTCTGGAACCCTTGTGGGTCCCAGTGGCCTTCCAAGTGGGACACAGGTCACAGTCCTGAGCCACCCTTGCTGTCTACTTGCCAAGTCTGAAGAGAGTAGAGTAGGGCCATGCAGGGCTGAGGGACAGGGCCCTGATGGATATCTGGATATTTGCAGCTCTGTTCCCAACCCTGAGATCTGTTAAGGGGGACTCTGCATGTGAAACCTCCACTAAGCTCAGGAGGTACCTGGTAAGAGGCCCTGACCCTGCAGAGCCAGCTCTGTTTTGAAGAGTAAATGAGGAGGAACCTGCTAATCCAGATACAGGTGAGGCTCCTGAGGACCCCACAGCCAACCTTCTCCAGAGATATGGGTTTTATAGAAAACCCCCTGGCTCTTCACCCAGGCTGGGGGTGGGACTGGAGCTGCCATCCCTATGGCAATCCCCTGAGCCTGGGTGTTGGGGACCTTGAGGTACTTTCTGCATCAGTGGGGGTCTGTGGGCCTGGCTCCCTGTGAGAGACCAGTCCTCTAACCCTGGGGGACAGACGTGGGTCTGTGCTACCCTGAACTGAGAGCCCCTGTGAGGCCCAGGTGCATCTTCAGCCAGCAGCTAGCAGGGCTCATCCAGGGAGGGAGTAAATAGAGTACAGACCCCTGAACTGGCCTCGAGGCTCTCTCTATGACCTCTTATGGTCCTTCAGCCTGCGGGACCTGACCTGCCCTGAAAGTGTGCTGACAGGAGCAGGATGGGTGCCAGGGGAACTCATGCCTGGTGCTGCTGGGCATGGAGCCTTTTAGGTCAGCCTGGCTTCCCCAAGGTGTGAGCTTGGGAGTGCCACTGTTGGGGTGCCCGGCTGTCCCAAGGCAGGGTCTCTGGACAGGCTTCCTCTAGCCTCTTGGAAGCTTCTCTACATACCAGTCCCCTACTCCCGAGCCTGACTGGAGTCCTGCTGACCACCTGACCATAGTAACTGGTGGCCAGACCCCTGGTGCCGTAGGCCACACACCTTGGCCATACCAGACAAAGGGTAAGGAATCCTCAGGGAGGTGGCCTGTCTGGGTACAGTACCCATGCATTGACCTATCCCTAGTCCTGTGAAGTGCAGCAGCCATTCCTGCAGATCTTTTGGGCCTATGGTCCCCTGGGGCAGCACACAGGTAGGGCCTGCTAGGGTAAGTAACCTGAGTTGGGTGGGACTAAGGGAGCTTTGCTGGGGTCCTCTTGCCTCAAGTCCTGGCTGGCTCACCTGGTGTTACCTTGGAGAACCTGAGAGGGTTGATGGGGCTCCTGGACAGGTCCACCTGTTGGAGGCACCACTAGGCCTTGGGAATGGTCCTGACACAGGGTGGCTCCATGTCTGTCCCCCAGAGTTAGAGGCCTGGGCCTCTCGCAGGATGGCTGTTTACTCAGAGTGTGCCAGGTGGATTCACGCAGCCCCTGTCCAGCCAACAGGGACATTTGGTGCCTGCCCTGTATGAGCTCTGCGGTGGCACACTCTGACCTCAGTCTTGCAACAGGTAGTATTTTCCACCCCATACTTGGCTCCCTGTTTCCATGTAAAGGTGGGTGTGTATTGAGGCCACAGGCACTGGGCCCTGGGCCCTGGGCTGGGGTATCCTGCTTTGGTGAAGGCTGTAGAGTTGGTTCCCATAGAATTTAGCTGGGTAGAGGATGGTGGGGTGGCTGAGGCTGGCAAACTGATTCTGCTCCTCTCCCGAGTGGACCATGTGAGGCTGGTACAAAGGCTTGGGCCCTTAGGCTGGAGCCCTAAAGACCTTTCTCTGGGACAAATATGAAGATGGGTGCAGCATTCCAGGCCCACCCCCTCCCTCCCTCTCCCCCTTCCTCCCTTTGATTCTGTGTGCTTTGTCCTGTGAACTCGCTCTTTGTGGTCCTGACCTTTTTTCCACATCTTGTGTTTTTTCCTTTCCTGCTGTGAGGACTGAGGGGCCCGTGTTGCTGCTAGTACGTGCTTACAGCCCTGTTTTCCACATCTTTAGATCTAGGATGAAAGCAAATTGTATTTTTATTCCATTAAAAATAAACAGGCTTAGATGAGCAGGATCTGACATGTGTTGATAATGGTGATTCTGGGGTCCCTGCTGGCTTTCTGTAGGCCAGTGCTTCTTCACTGTGCCTGGCCTAGCAGTCAGTTGGGCCTGGCCCCTCCCTTTTCCCAGGTCTCTGGGACAGTCCTGAACCAGAGGCCTATGTTCACAGAGGACAAAATGGGACAAGGGGTCCTTAGGGGAGGGAGGTCATGGTGTTGGTTGCCGGGCAGCACGGGGGGCATGGAACAGTCAGCAGCACTGGCCCTGGCAGTGCCATTCCCTTTCGGAGCCACAGGCGCTAATGCTGGTGGGGCCGGATGCCGGCCCATCCACAGGTCACCAATGAGATCACGCCGGTGCTGTCCTACTCTTACATGGTGGTGCTGGTGCCCATTTTCCTGCTCACCGACTACCTGCGCTACAAGCCAGTGCTCCTGCTGCAGGGCCTCAGCTACATGGCTGTGTGGCTGCTGCTGCTGCTGGGCCATTCAGTGCCACACATGCAACTCATGGAGGTCTTCTACAGCATTACCATGGCCGCCCGCATCGCCTACTCCTCCTACATCTTCTCCCTGGTGCGGCCTGCACGCTACCAGCGCATGGCCGGCTACTCGCGCACGGCAGTGCTGCTGGGTGTCTTCACCAGTTCTGTGCTGGGCCAGCTACTGGTCACTGCAGGCAGGATTCCCTTCTCCACTCTGAATTACATCTCACTGGCCTTCCTCACCTTCAGCCTGGTGCTGGCGCTCTTCCTCAAGCGCCCCAAGCGCAGCCTTTTCTTCAACCGTGGTGCACAGGCACGCAGGGACTTGGCTTCAGAGCTGGACCACATGAACCCTGTGAGCCTGGGCCAGCCCCAGGGCAAGAAGTTGGGGCGTGCGCTGCTGGTAGCCTGCCAAGACTGGGTCCTGGTGCGCATGCTGCGGGAGCTGGGAGACAACCTGCGGCAGCCACAACTGCGCCTCTGGTCCCTCTGGTGGGTCTTCAACTCAGCTGGCTACTACCTGGTGGTCTACTACGTGCACATCCTATGGAGTGTGGTACAACCTGCCGCTGACAGTGCCCGAGTCTACAATGGCGCGGCTGATGCTGCCTCCACGCTGCTGGGTACAGGCATCCCCACCACCCCCTCCCTGCTGCCTGATGATCCCCGGCCTACTCCTCTCACTACCCCTCAGCCCAGTCCCCCATCCTTCCCCTCCTCCCCTCATACCTGTCACCTCCTCCCAACCTAGCTTCCCTCCCACCCCCCATTGTCTACCTAGCTGTCTTGCCACCTACCTTCAAACCACCTATCAACCTGCTGCCCAGCTGACCTGGCCCAACCCCCAAACCTCCTGCTCCCCACCTCCTCCCAAACCAGCTAGCCTTGCCTGCATCCCTGCTGCCTGCTCAGCCTACCCTCTCTCTGCCCTCAACTATCACTCCCTACCCCGATTTCTCCTAACCTATCACCAGCCCCAGCCCTCCCCATCATTGCTTTGCCACAGGATGGCTGTGACACTCTGCCTTCCCCAGGCGCCATCACATCCTTCGCTGCGGGCTTTGTGAAGATCCGCTGGACACTGTGGTCCAAGCTGGTCATTGCAGGTGTCACGGCCACACAGGCTGGACTGGTCTTCCTCCTGTACAGCACACGCAACATCTGGTTGTGCTATGCGGCCTTTGTGCTCTTCCGAGGATCCTACCAGTTCCTTGTGCCCATCGCCACGTGAGTTCCAGATGGTTCTATGGGGAGCATGGGCATGCATGGTGCGGGCAGACTAGGAGGGTTGTGTGTGTGCCCCACCCAGGGAGCAGACACCTGTCATACTCTTACCTTGGTACCTAGTAGTCCCGCTGCCTTGGCCTCAGTTTTCCCTGCCAGCAGTGGACCTGACAGCTCCAACCCTGCTGAAGCCCCCTCAAGGGTTCTCTTTGTACCACCACAGGGCTAGCCCCACCTGGAGCTGATGAAGGTGTCCCTTGCCTCTGCCCCAGTCTTCATTCTCTGGGCCTTGGTGGCCCTGCCTATGCTGTCCAGCTCCTGCCCTGGTGGGTCAGCCTGCTCTCCCAGGTCCAACACCTCCTCTCTGAAGGCCGCCATACACCCACACTAGTGCCCTGCTTCAATCCCACTATCCATGCCCACCCTCTCTGAGACCCCATTGGAGGGGGAGTATGCTCCTGTGAGTTTATGCTCATGTCACACTCACACCACACAGACATACCCACTCCCACGCACACTGGCATACACACACTGGCATGCCCACACTACATACTCAGACCATACACACTACACACTAGCATACTCATACCACACATACATACATGCATGCCACATGCTGACACATCACACAGACTGATATCTGACACATCAATACTGACACACTCATACTGTGCTGACACATCACACACACACCACATATTCAGACCACACAGACACTGGCACACCACTCATCACACTACACACAGGCACCTGCCTTCCTTGGCCTGTCCCCACCTTCCCCATCCCAGGAGACTTTTGACTGGGCTCACCTCCTTGGACCTCACCTCCTGGATCTGTCTCCGGGCCTGGCCTCCCTGTGCTGTTGCGCCCAGCTTTCCTCCACCGTGGACATTCCCACTCTGGCCACACACACATCTGAGCATCTGTCCCTTGCCTCTTCCTGAACTGAATGTGTCCTCTAGCTCCTGACCCTTGAGTCATTCCATCAGGTTGGTGGTCTGATTCCCATGCAGTCTTATCTGGTTACACCTGATACCTATGCTTCCCTGTCCCCTCCTCATTTCCTTCCTGGACTTGGTTTCCTGGCTCATACCAACATCCTTTTTCTCCTGTCCTGACCACATTCAGGTTGCTGGAGTCCTTTTTGCAGCATGCTCACTGCACCTGCAGTGTGGACCACCATCCCCACACTCCTCACAGCCCCACTACTCTTGCCTCCCAGCGGTGAAGGCCCAAAGCGTGCCAGGGTTGGCTCACTCCTAACCTGCTAGCTCTTTGGAAAGGGCATCAGGGCCATCTGTTGGCTTGTTGTCCTGTGCTTCATCTGGTGGGACAACACCATCATGCTTTCACTAATTATAAAGCCATCAATACTAAGAGCAGAAAAACAAAAAAAGTGCAGGCATGTGTAGAGAGGAGGATGAGCCTTAGCCCTGAGGGACCTGGTATTGTGTAGAGCAAAACTCAGGCTCTGGTGGTCTCTGCCACTCGTTTGTGAGTGGGTCAGTGTCAGACAGAACAGTTGCTTCTGGTGATGAATGATAGACCTCACCACTGTCCCCTGAGGTGGGGTAAAGGCATCATTTCCGGTTCTTCCTTAGACAGCCCTAAAATGAGTACCCCTTTACCTGCGTTTCTCTTCCCAGGTTCTGATAATGGCCCCCAGTGGGTTCTTAGGAAGGATGTGGCCAGGTCAGAGCTATGCTTTTGTAGGAGGGTTTTAGCAAGTATCTCAGGTGCCCTGCAGGCCAGCGTGCAGGCTTCTCCCTGTAGGGCAGTCCCCACCCCTGAGCCCCTGACAGGCAGGGTAGGCCCCGAGGGCCGAGCAAGGCTGACCTCCTTCTGTGGTTGCCGGTGTCGGTTGGACTCATCTGCCTGGTGTGTACTTTTGTCCATCCATGGGATGACAGCCCTCTGTGACATGCTTCAGCAGCCCATGATCTGCTTGCTTGATCTGCTTGCCTGCAGTTCTCCAGGATTTTCAGAGCACCCTCTGAATATTCCATGTGCTGGTCTGGGCTCTGCTGCCTGGACCCTGGGAATTGGCCTGTCGCCCACGCCTCCCTGGTGACTGCTCGTTCCCCCTTGGGCTGATCATCCTCATCCTGTTGTCCTGCTCACCTTGGCCTTCTGTGCCCTCTCCCACCTGATGCCACCCAGCCTCTCTACACCAGCACTTGTGTCTCTATCATTGTGTTTCCAGAGTTTCAGGCAGGTGAACTTCCAATCACTCTTTGTCTAGTTCTTTTTGTAAAGAAAGCACTTTGTGGATTTTAATGAGAGCTGAATCCAAGTACTAATTTCTTTGCCGAGGAGCAGAAGACTAATGTTTCACCACTTCCTGTCAGGGATGTGGCCCCTTTATTCCTGTTATGCTCCACACCTTGAATGCCCACGCCACTGCTGCTCACCTCCAGAACCCCTTACCTCCAGGTCTGTCCTTGGTCATGGGAAGCCTCCCAGGGACCCTCCCAAGCTTGCCTCTGTGCTTCTTGGCACCCACTTACAAGGCTCAGCCTCTCTAATCAAAAAATCCAAAATTCTAAATACTCCAAAATCTGACACTTTTGAGCATGGAAAACATATCCCAGAAGAAAATTCCACAGCTGACCTCATGTGTCAGGTTGTAGTCAAAGCACAGTCAAAACTTGGCTTTGTGCACAAAATTATTAAAGTATTATATAAAATTACCTTCAGACTATGTGTATGAAGTGTGTATGAAACAAATGAATTTCATTTTTTAGGCCTGGGTCCCATCCCCAAAATACAATTCACTGTGTACATGCAGTTATTCAGAAATCCCACTCTTCTGGGTCCAGGCATTTTCCTAAGGGAGACTGGACTCTGATGAGCCGGGAGGATGTGATGGCTGTCACACAGCCCCTCTTGGGAACGTGGCCTGGGTACTGGGCTCCTCTCCAGTGTGGGAGGTAGGGGGAGGTAAGGGCTGGTGGGTGGGCCCTGGGGTGATGGGGGCTGCCTGGTAGGGTTCTTTCTGTTGCTTCTGCCTCTCCTCCCCCTGCAGGGCCTGATCCAGGCATACTCTTCTCATTCAGCTTCCAGATTGCATCTTCTCTATCTAAGGAGCTCTGTGCCCTGGTCTTTGGAGTCAACACATTTTTTGCCACCATTGTGAAGACCACCATCACCCTCATAGTCTCAGATGTGCGCGGTCTGGGCCTCCCAGTCCACTCACAGGTGAGCCCCCACTTCAGGCTTGAATCCTTGGGGAAGGAAGCTGCTCATGGGGTCCTTGCTGGGTCCTCCTGGTGCCACCTGGTGTGGGGTCCACTGTGGCCAGGGGTGTAGAGGGCAGGCTGAACTTCTCCAGTGGACACACTGGGCCAGGGTGGAGCAGGAAGGGAGAGAGTCCTGAACAAGCTCATTCAAAGTAGGTGGAGCCCCCATCTAGGCCCTATGTCGCAGTGGGGATGACTGAGCCTCTGACCAGCATGGCCAACCGATTTTTCATCTCAATGTCTGTAAGCCCTGGCTAGGGGACACGTGATCTTGTTCCCTTCAGGCAGGAGAACCAGGTAGAGCCACTGTGGTAGGTTTTGGCATGTAGGCCCCTCTCTGGGTTTCTGTCCCTTCTCCCATCCTGGGGTGGGCTTTGTGATGCTTATGAGAAGAGCTTGAAAACATGCCTTTAACTCCTGGGACCCCAGACAAGTCGGGATCTCTGAGCTCAGCCAGATGGCAGGCACAGCCAGGAGATCACCGTTCCTCAGAAACTGTCCCACCCAAGCCTGTGGCTGGACAAACACCTTAGCAAAAGCCTTTGTCTGCAGGACGAAGGCCTTGTTTACCCAGGGCCTATGTCACATGGCAGGAGGCCTGTCAGGGCTGGCCCAGGCCCTCTGCGGGTGTGGAGTCAGCACAGCCTCAGGGATGCCAAAGCTTAGCATTGAGTCTGTCTGGCCAGGTAGGGGGCCTGGGCAGGAGCAGGCATCCTAGCTACTGAGGTGCTGGCTATCTTGCCTGAAGTGTGCCTTGCAGGGTTTGCAATGCCTCTGAGGAAGGACAGCATTCTTCAGCCTGGGGGTCAGTAGGGCCTGGGCACAGAGGCAGGCCGTGGACCTTCTTCTACAGAACCCTCCAGATGCCCTGCCCTGCCTTGCCAGGCTTATCACTGGGGCTGGTTAATGCGTCCAGACCAGAGGGATGGACAGAGCCTCCTGTGCTGAGCTATTCTGGGGTCTTCAGGAATGTGTACATCAACTCTACATGATGCCTGGTGTGTGGAACTGGGCAACTATCCAGCTGTACTGGGAGGGGCCTCAGTACCCCAGAGGAAGCCCTCCCCATCCTTCGGACCCCGAGTTGTCTCCTGCCCCCAGACAGTGACCTGGCTTCTGACCTGCCCCTGGGTGTTGATCTCTGTGCCACTGCACCTCCCCACTACCACCTCCCTCTCCTACACCTCCCCCCTCCACCTCCCACCTGAATTTGTGAGCCCCCTTCCTGCTGCTGCCCTACATAGGAAACCTCTTCAGGTGGGCTTCTGAGGGGCTCATGAGGGCTTGGTGGGAGGGGCTGGTTTTTCCCAGAGGGTCAGCCTTGAGGGAGCACCTCCCCTTCCTGGGTTGATCCTGTTCCCAGCTTCTCTCAGGTGGCAGTGTGGCTTGGACTGGGGTCCTGGGGAGGTAGCGGCAGGCTCCGGCCTGTACTTCCTGCTGCTCAGGTCAAACTGAAAAAAATGCATGGACTTTTCTCTGGCTGATGTTATTTTCAGGTTAAAAAGTAACTCTAGTACTGGGGCATTGTGTTGATGATTAGAAGTACTGCTGGGCCCAGTGGGCAGGAGTGCCAGCTCACCTTGCTCTCCCTCTGCCGTGATGGCATTATGGGTGTCCCCCCACATCATCTTGAGTGGAGTGAACAGGGAGGACAGGAGCTCAGGCTTGGCAGGAGCAAAGCCAGGAAGACTGGTGGGACTGTAATGGAGTACGAGGAGCTGGCAGACCTTAACTTGCCTGGGTTTGTTTTTTTAAATTAAACTTTATTTTTGGGTAATTTTGCATCCACGTGCAGTTTAAAAAATAGCACATGGGAGATCCATGTGCCCTGTACCCAATTTTCCCAATGGTCACAACTTATATAGCATCACAGCCAGCATATTGACTACGGTCGAGATCCAGGCCATTCCATTTGCACAGGGATCTCCCATGCTGTTCTTTCGTAGCCGTGCCCACTGTACGTTCAGCCACACCTCCTCCTCAACCCCTGGCAACCATTAGCCCCTCTGCTGCTGTGTAATTCTGTCATCGCTAGAGTGTGTCATGTGACCTTTGGGGAGTGCTTTTGTCGGTCAGAGTTGTTCTCCGGAGATTCATACAGGTTGCTGCTGTAGTACTAGTTTACTCTTTACTGTTGGGCAGTACTCCAAGGTCTACTGCACCATACGGTCTTTAATGTCTCACTATTAAAGGACTGTGAGTCCTTTCCACTTTTGAGATACTACAAATTAAGCAGCTATCAGCATTCTTTTACAGGTTTTTGTGTGAAGCTAAGTGTTCATTACTTCAGAATGAACACCCAGAAAGCTGCTTCATATAGTGAACTGCCTGCTTTCCTGGTGGGTGGAGCATTTTCCCATTACTGCCAGTAGCATCGGAGAGGTTGTTTCTCAGCACCCTCATCAACTTTCATGTTGACACTATTTTCATTTGAGCCATTGTAGTTGTGTAGTGATGTTTCATCATAGTTTTGATTTACTTTTCCTTGATGGTTAATAATGTTGAACTCTTTCCATGTGCTTATTTTCCATCTGCATGTCCTTGGTGAATTGTTGCTTCATATCTTCTGACCATTTTCTGCTTTATACTTTTGAGTTTTGAGCATTGTTTATATATTCTAGTTACTAGTTCACACACAGACACACACAGTTTGCAAATATTTTCTTCAGCTCTATAGCTTGTCATTCATTTCAGTGTGGTCTTTTGCAGATAAAATGTTTTTAATGTTGATGAGGCCTGATTTAATAGTTTTTGCTTTTATGAATCATGTTTATGGTGTCAAGTCTAAGAACTCTTTGCCTATCCCCAAATTCAGGGGATTTTCCCCAGTTTCTTTTTAAAAGTTTTATAATTTTACATTTAAGCCTATGGTCAATTTTGAGTTAATTTTTGTCTAAGGTGTTAAGTTTTAGTCAAGGTTCACTTTTCTGGCCCGTGTGTGTTTATTTATTCTAGCATCATTTGTTGAAAAGACTTACCTTTCCTCCATTGACTTGCTTTTGTACCTTTGTCAAAAGTTGGGTGTATTTATGAATCTGTTTCTGGATTCTTTACTCTGTTCTACTGAACTGTGTGTTTACCCATTTACCAGTACCACACTGTCTTGCTTATGAAGCTTTATGGTAAGTTTTTGAAATTGAGTGGTCTGATTCTTTTAACTTTTTCTTTTTATTTGAAATTATTTCCACAACTATAGTTTCTTTGCTTTTCTTGTATACATTTTAGAGTAATCTTGTCTATATCTATAAAAATTATTTCTCAGATTTTTTAAAGGAGATTTGCATTAAACTAGTATTTCAACTTAGGGTGAATTGAATCTTTACTGCATTGTCTGTTTTGATATATGCTCTTCCAATCCACGAACATGGAGTATCTCTCCATTTATTTTGATCTTCATTGATTTCTTTCAGCATTTTGTAGTTGTAAGTATGAGTACCATATATATTTTGTTAGTTTACACTTAAGTATTTTATTTTTGAGTAGATGATACTATATTTAACATTTGATGTCTACATTAGTCTGCTTGAGCTACCATAACAAAATAACACAGATGGGGTGGCTTAAACAACAGAACTTTATTCTCACCCAATTCTGGAGGCAGGAAATCTGAGATTAAGGTGTTGATAGAATTGGTTTCTCCTGAGGCCTCAGGTCTCCTTGGCTGTAGATGGCATCTTCTGTTTTGTCTATATGGTCTTTTCCCTGTGTGTAGTCTCCCTTGATATCTCTGTCTCTTCTTATAAGGAGACCAGTCAGATTGGATTAGGGTCACACTCTTATGACTTAATTTAAACTTAATTACCTTTTTAAAGGCCCTCCAAATGCAGTGACACTGAGGGCTAGGGTTTCAACTTATGAATATGGGAACTGGGGAGAGGTACACAAAATTCTCTCCATAACAGTGTACATGTTTTCATTGCTAGTATATAGAAATACAGTTGATACTTGTGTGTTTACCTTATATTCTGCAATATTGCTGAGCTTAAGCTTACTTATTCTAGAAGGTTTTTTTGGTTTTGTTTTTTAAGATTCCTTGAGATTTTCTCTGTAGACAATTATGTCATCTGCAAGTAGAGGCTGTTTAATTTCTTCCTTTCTGATCTATATATCTTTTTATTTCCTTGTCTTATTGCGTTGGCTAAAAGTGTATTATGATTTCCTCCATTTTGCTTGCTTTAGATTTATTTTGCTCTTTCTAGGTTCTTGAGGTGAGATATTATTGATTTGAGATTTTTCCTCTGTATAATGTATACATTTAGTGATATAAATTTCCCTCCCCAGTACTGCGTTAGCTGCATCCCACAAATTTGATAGGCTATATTTTTATTTCAATGTATTTTTTTAACTCATCATCATTTCAAAGTTTGTTGTTTTGTTTCCAAGTGTTTTGAGATTTTCCTGTTATCTTTCTGTTATTAATTTCTTTTATGATTCTATTATGATTTTATTTGAGTTTAGTCCTTTTGTCTGTTTTAGTATATGTTCTGTGGGCACTTGGAAAGTTTATGTATTCTGCTGTTGTTGGGTAGAATATTCTATAAATGCTAAGATCCTATTGACTGATGGTGTTATTGATTTCTTCTCTGTTCTTGTTGGTTTTCTGTCTAACTATATTATAATTGAGAGAGAAGTGTTGAAGTCTCCAAGTATAATTGTGGATTTGTTTCTCCTTTCAGTTCTATCATGTTTTTGTTTCACATGTTTGCAGCTCTTTTGTTTGTTGCATATACATTTGGGATTGGTATGTGTCTTGGTGGATTGACATTTTGTCATATATAATAGAGGAATTGTATAATGTCCCTCTCTGTCTCTGGTCATTTTCTATGCTCTGAAGTTTACCTGATACTAATATAGCCACTTCTGCTTTCCTTTGATTAGTGTTTGCATGCTACGTCTTTTCCCAGTTTTTTACTTTCAACCTTCCTATTTTGCTATATTTGAGATGAGTTTCTTGTAGATAGCTGGTAGTTGAGTCATTTTTTTAAACCCAATCTCTGTCTTACAGTTGGTGTATTTAGACTATTTATATTAAACATAATAATTTATATATTAGAGCTGAAGTCTGCCATTTCACTTTTTATTTTTCATTTATTCTCTGCTTTTAGTTTTATTTACTTTTTTGCACTTTCCGGTGGGTTACTTACATATTCTTTGGAATTTTGTTTTGGTTTATCTATTATGTTCTTAGTTTAGCTATTTTGGTGGTTGCTTTATGTATTACATCACCAGTTTGAGAGAAGCATAGAAAACTTTGCCTCCCTTATGTCACTTTATTGTCCCCCACTTATAGTACAATTGCTTTAAATATTTTCTTTCTATACCTTTAGTGCCACATAATACAGTGTTATAATTTTGCACTAATCATCAAACACAAGTTAGGAACTCAAGAAGGAAAGTCTATTATTTACCTATAATTTTACCTCTTGTGTTTTCTTCCTGTTATTTCAAAATTTCTTCCTTCTTTAATAATTTTCTGTTTAGAGAACTTCTTTTTGCCATTATTTTGGGTAAGTCTGTTGGTGATAGATTCTTCTCTTAGTTTTTCTTTATTTGATATATCTTTTATTGAATGATGTTTTGTTTTGCTGTTTATAGGATTCTGGGTAGGTAATGTTTTTTCCTTTATCATGTGAAGAATGTGGTGCCACTTCCTCGTGGCCCTCAAGATTTGTGATGAGAAATCACTCATTCAACCTGTTTTCCCTGTAGGATGTCATTTTGACTGCTTTTAAGATTTTCTCTTTATTTTACCTTCAGTTTTACAAGTTTGCGTATGGTATGTGTTCTTGCAGCTCTTGTTTTACTATTTGGGGTTTGCGTGGCTTTTTGAATCTTTGGTTCATTATGTCTTGCCAAATTTGGAACATTTTCAGTCATTATTTCCTCAAATACTTTTGTTAATCTTTTGTTATATAGTTCCACAAAGAGTGAGGCTTTGTTCAGTTTTTTCCAGTTTATTTTTCTTGTTGTTCACAATGGGTAATTTCTGTTGTTCTATTTCCAGTTCACTGATTCATTTATCTGTCTCTTCTGTTTTGTTATTGAGACTGTTCATTGAGTTTTAAAAAATTTTAGTTATCGTTTTTTTCTGTTCAGAGTTTTTTTTGTTTGTTTGTTTGTTTTTGTTTTTGGTTGGCGTCTCACTCTTTCACCCAGGCTGGAGTGCAGTGGCATGCTTACCGCTACTTCAGCCTTGACCTGCAGGGCTCAGGTGATCCTTCTACCTCAGCCTTCCAAGTAGCTAGAACTATAGGCATGCATCACGACACCTGGTTAATTTTTTGGTTTATTGTAGAGACAAGGTCTTGCCAAGTTGCCCAGGCTGGTCTCAAACCCCTGGGCTCAGGCAGTCCTCTCACCTCTGCCTCCCAAAGTGTTGAGATTACAGGCATGAGCCACAGTCCTCACTTCCTTTTTTAATTTATCTTTATTTTTTATTTTTGAAACTATTTTTGTGTTTCCACAGTGTTTGTGTTTGCTTATTGAAGCATTTTTATAGTGACTGCTTTAAGATCTGTCTCAGATAATTCTAACACCTTTGTCATCTTGATGTTGGTATCTGTTGATCATCTTTCATTCAGTTTGGGATTGAGTAGTTCCAAGTATGCTGATTTGACTTTGGACTGAAATGCAAGTATCTTGGGTATGATGATGTGAGATGATCTTCCTTCTGCCTTCTATTTTGGCTGTTTTTTCCTGACACAGCTCTAGCAGGGGATGCTGGGTGTGCATCGCATTATGACCAGAGAGGGAGGAAGTCCAAGCTCCCCACTCAACCTTCGTGGCATCTGGGGGTGGGTGAGTGGTTGAGGCTCTTTCTTATTGCCAGACAGGGATAAGAGTTCCAGCTCCTTGTGGTTCTCTTGACGCCACTGGCAATGGGACATCACTGTTACTGGGATGAAAGTTCATTCTTGCCACTTGGCCTCCTGATCCCCCACCATGCCTCGAGGGGAATAGACACTTGGGTATTGCTAGGTGGGGGTAAGAGGCCAGGCTCCCCATATGGTCTCCACTGACTCCTTGGGGGAGTCATTCCCACTAGGTGGGGTGAAAGTTCAGATACCCCAGATGGTCTCCCCTGAGTCCATGAGGGTGGGGGTAGGAGTGGGAATAGGGGTATTCACCGCCCAGTGGGAATGTAAGTTGTAGCTCCCACTTGTAAGTTGACAGCATCCTGACAGGTGAAGGTGGCAGTCTGGGCTCCCAGTCCTTGCTGGTATGGATGGGTGGGCCGTGGTATACCTGTGGTGTCTGTTGGAGCAGAGTGATTTCTGTCTGGGAGTCTCCACCTTGATGGGCTGCCCTTCCCTTTGGCCAGAATGAGCTGCTTTTTGAGGGGCTCCCCTGTGTTCTATGGCATCTCCAGCTTGCTGGCTCTTCAGTTCTAAAGTCTCTGAGGTGAAAGAGAGACACCTGGGAGCTCTACTTGTTGCTCGCTGGAGGGCCTGGCCACCACCTGCTTCTCTCCACTTTCCAGGCTTCCCGAGTATCTTATCTGGAGCAGCTGGGATTTCAGTTATTTGTAGAAAAAGGATAGGGACCAGCATGTCAGCCCCATCTTCCAGGAAACAAAGTCCTTGGTGGTCACTTCCTGGGTTTGCTTGAAACATGTGCTTTCCTAGAAGGGAGTGGTGCCGCCAGGCTGTAGGGATCTAGCCTGCAAGTCTGACACTGGCCTGCAGTCTGGGGCAGGATTTGCTGGGCCTGACACACAGATGACCCAAGACCTCCTGGCCTTCTGGACCATCTGCATCTTTGGGAATGATTGGGTCTCTCCCTGGTATCCTGGTCTCTCCTCTCCATGGCAACTGTGAGAACCCGGAGATGTCATGCTGCTGTGCAGTTGCTTTTTGTCTTTGCTGCACAGCTTCTGCCACTGAGGCAGAGATGGGCTCAGTGCAGAGGGTTGCTGAGATGGCACAGTGAGCAGAGAGCCCAGAGAGCAGCTCCCAGCCACCCACTATGGTGCTGTTCGCTTGCCCCATGGGATGGAATCTTCTGGTCCTTACAGATGTCCTCTGGCTATCTTGGCAGCCATGAGCACTCAGCCCACAAAGCAAGGGCCTTGGGAGAAGACCTGCAGGCCACACAGTGGCAGGCCACATGCCAGGACCTGGAGGATTTTGGGGAAAAATGTGGGAGCCCTCCCCTTTCAGAGCTGTGCCAGCCTGTGGCAGGAAGGAGGTCAGGCGGCAGGCACCGTGTGACCCTCTCCCGGAGCTGGTATTTGGCTCTCGGGCAGTGTTTGGGAACAGGATATAGCCTGGAGAAGGGCATCCCAGGAGCAATTGATGTGAGTGGAGGGAGCGAGTGGGGAAGTGGGCCTGGCCTAGAGGGGAGAGTCTCAGGAGCAGGTGGCATGGAGGGTCCGCCTCACCCCAGCCTCTCTTTCCAGTTCCTCCTCTACTTTGTGTACTTCCTGGTCCTGTCAGCCATCTACCTCTCCGGTGCTGTGCTGGATGGCCTGCGGCACTTCCAGCGGGGCCACCACCAGCCACTGCCCCTGGCCCAGGAGCTGAAGAGTCCCTCAGCCGAGAAGACTGCGCAGGTGCTGACCATACAGGATGAGGGCCTCGGGGATCTGCAGCCCTTGACCCCACCCCTGCTCCCAGAGGACAGAGCATGGGCCTTGGAGCCAGCCTCCCTGGGGCAGAGGCAACCGGGTCCAGCCTGGCCTGTTCTCCCAGTCCCAGCCCAGCCGGCGGCCAGATTCCTGACTCCAGAGGTAGCACCTCCTGCCTGTACTCCATGTCCTGACCAGGCCCTGACCCCTGATGTTGCCGACGTGATGTGTCTACAGCCAGCTGCCTATCCTCTCAGTGTCAGCCAACCAGGTTTGCAGCTTCGTCTGAATTCCAGTGTTCAGAGTGTGAACCAGTGACTTATAAGGCTCTTTGTGTGCCTTTGTGGGTGACCTTCAATTTGTCCCTGTGACCCATGTCTCATGGCCCGCCTGCCTTAGCCAAGAGGAGGCCTCGGTTCATCCTGCCAAGCAGCCTTCATGCACTCCCCCTACCTAAGCCCTGCTCCATATGCTGATGATAGCTAGAGCCTCCTGGGACACTTGGGGCAGCTGCCTGGCCTCTGCAGGCTCGGTTGCCTGTCACTGGCCCAGAAGAGGCTGATGGGGCTTCCTGTGTCCACCAGGCCTTCCTGTCTTCACCTGCTAGAGGCTCAAGGCAAATCCTGTCTGTCCCTGGGGACAGGCAAGGTGACCCCAGATGCCAGCCCAGGGGATACTGGCCTACTAGGGGTACTGGGCCCTCCAGGGCAGGGTGGGGCCATGATTCCCCTGGCCCATAGCTAAACTGTGACATTTCTAGTTGTCTTAGGTGCTTGCTTTTTTGAACAACATGCTAATATTTTTTAACTGACATAAAAAATGAGGAACTAAATCTGGTCTCCCTGTCTCTGTGGGAGAAGTGGCAGCAGACATGTCCCTATCAGATAGCAACAGTGACCTGGAGCCCTGGTATAGTCCCTTTCCCTACCAAGGGCTTTGGCTGGCAGGTCCTCTGTCATCCCTTTCTCTGTTCTGAAGTTAGTTGGCACTGACCATGAGTCCTCAAGAACTCATGTTTAGGGTTAGGGTTAGGCCATATGTCCATGCCACCCAGAGGACTTGCCCTGCCTCTACAGATGTGCCAGCCTCGGTGTATACGGGGCTCTTGGATGGCCCTGGGTAGCACCAGGTGAGCTGTTCTCTGGCCAGTGTGGGGCAGTATGTGTCCAGTGGCATCAGGGTCCAAGAAGCCTTGGCATATCACTTCAAGGTCCAGGGGAGTCACCTGTGCATGCTTTTACCAAAACACAGGAAACAACCACAACCTGGGCATGAGGTAGGCCCCTCATTCCAGACAGCCTGGCTGGGGTGATAGGGATGAGGCCAGGCAAAGTCTGCTCCCCTTCCAGCTCCAGCCCAGGGCCTTGCCAAGCCCCCCACCACCACTCAAGCCATGATCTTCCTGGGTATAGGCTTGTCAGAGGCAATTGCTCAGCTCCGTGCAAGAAGCAGGAGATAGAATTTCTGGCTGAGGGGGAGCCACTGGAGCTGGCTATATTCAGGGGTCTCTTGAGGTTTGCTAGAGTGAGTGTGGCATCCTGGGGGGTACCGTGGGTCTAGAATATGAAGGTTTGCACACACATGGAGGGTGACCTGAGTCACACCAACAGTGCTGGTCAGAGGGAGCAGTGGTCCCCCAGTGCATCCACGGGCCCCACCCCTGCCACCCTGTAGACATTGCTGGGAGGGGAGCCGCATTGCCTCTTTCTGGGTCCATGGATCTTGCAGGATGGATGAGTGAAGGGGGGTTGGCCTATGCCATGGGCTGGAGTGTGATGCGAAGCCCCCCTCCCAGCGAGAGCCCTCCCAACCAGCATCTGCCCCCCAGGCCTCCCTCTGCTCCTCCTCTCTGCCTGGCTCTGAGGACTGTTTCTGTTGCTCCCAAGCTCCTCACCAGCCACCAGGTCAGAGGTGGCTCAGGATACAGGTTCCCGGGAGCCAGCTAGGTCCTGCTTCAGAGGCAACCATGGCCCCTTTGGGGCACAGTAGCCACACAGAGAACATGGGCGTGGGGTGGGGCCTGGAGTACAGACTCACACAGTCTTGAATAGCCTGTGAGAACTGCTGGCTGCCAGAGGAGACCCCTGAGAGTATCCACAGACACCTGTGCACACCCATGTATACCTGTGTATGCCTGAGCATGCCTGCTCATGCCCGTGTATGCTCGTGCATGCCTGTGCATACCCATGCATGCCTGTGTATACCTGTCCATACTCATGTATACCCATGCATGCCTATACACTGGTGTACACCCCTGCCCCCTCAGCGGGATCCACCAGCTGGGCAGTTTAGGGACAAAGTACTCCAAGGACTCGTGAGTAATTTCGCCCTTCTGATAGTAAAGGCTACTTGCAGACCAGTGTCAGTGTAAAAGGTCATCTTTATTTGCCTGTTTGAACTGGCCTCACGTCACATGGTTACAGAACCAGCCCTACCAGTTTCATCATAGTCCTGAGGCATGTGTAGGCTACCATGCTGTGGTCAGCCTGGTACTGCATTGGGTACACACCTCCCTCCAGAGGACAACTCGTGCTCTTAGGCAGATGCTGCTGGACTTCTGGGGTGACTGAGGACCTCAGTCACCCTCAGACACCTGCCAGCTCTCCAGGGATACTGATGTGAGCCTTAAAGTTCCCCTCAGTCCCCCACAAGGAGGGCAAGGCTATGGGTTTTCTAGGAAACAGCCAATGACTGCCATCCAGGGCCAGCCCATCCATGTGTTGGTGTCAACAGGCTGTAGCCACATTAGCTGTCCCACGGCTCTACGCCAGCCTGAGTCTTCTCCACGTGGCCTAGTCCAGTGTGGGCTCTTGGCTGGGCAGTGCTGGCCATGAGCCACATCATGGTCAGGGCTCCTGGACCCCTTGCTCCCTGTGCTTCCCTGCAAAGGTCACCCAGGACCCCAGCGATTCTGCCACAGGGGCCTGGGCATGGGATGGATGGGGGCCCTGGATGGAGGCTGCCATGGCCCTAAATCAAGGGTCTCTCAAAACTCCCAGCTTAGGCTTGGGGCAAGCTCATGGCTCACCCGGAAGTCGCCTGGGACAGGAAGCCTGGAGACAGGCCCAACAGGTTAGGGCTAGTCCCAGGCCCCTGTGCACATACCAGGGCCAGGCCAGAGCCTGAGGTCACAGTGAGCACTGAGCTCAGAGATCCAGTCCAGTAGAGGTTGCTATGGAGGACAGTGCCAGGCCTAGAAGGGGCAATGTCCCTCACTCCATGCCATGGGCCATCCTGCTCACTACCTGGACAAGCACAGCCCACTTTCTGCTGCAGGTGCAGCCCTGAGGACAGGAGAGGCCCAGGAAGCCCCATGCTGAGTGTGGCCTTAGCCCCCAGTGCCTTGCCGGCCTGGTCTGGATTCTGTGCACAGAAGGGGTGCCAAGGAGGAAACCAAGTCAGTGCCTGCCGGGGTGAGCTCAGCTTCCCAGAGCAGTAGGTCCTGGAGTTAGCCTCTTGCTGAAACTGAGACATGTCCAATTCAGGCTGAGAGGCTGCACAGGGTACCAGGACAGTGCCAAGGTGGCCCCAGCCCAAGACAGGCCATGCTAGCATTGGGGGACTGGAGGGTAGGGGAGCAGGCGACCATCTCAGCATCAGGCTTCTGTTTTAAACTTTTAAAAAAATACACTCTTTGGTTTCCTTTTATTTCTTGAGGATTACATGAAATGTGAGCTATACAGGACAGTATCCCAGCCAGGCCCTGGGGTGCTGGCCAGGGTGCCCTGCCCGCTAGGGGGCTTCATCTGCCCCCACCTGTCCTCTCTGCTGTCGGCATCCAGGTGGCAGGCCTACTTGGAGGCTATCATGAAGCTGTTCTCGATGCAGAGCACGATGTAGGCATGGTGGCAGCCTACGGCTTTCTGACCCAGGAGCCTGCCTGCCAGCAGCGAGGAGGCCTGGCCCGTGGCTGCAGGGGATTCTGTCCGCCATGTTTCACAGTAGCTCTCAGTCAGCCTACGCCCGCTGGGGTCCGAGCCATGCCACACGCTCTTCTGGGGCCTGCAAGAAGCAGCAGGTCAATCACACCTAGACCTCTTCTCCTTGGGCAGAAGCCACCCCGGGCAGGAAGGGTGGAAGCGAGTGGCCAGCCCTGGGCACTGGAGGGCCACAGAGGGTCCCATGACCTAGAGAGCCACACAGCTTCCCTGCAGGCCGCCTGTCCAAAGCTCTACCTCCCAGATGGTGCCCCACACTGCTGCAGCCAGATATGCGGCAGAAGGCAGAGGTCTAGGATTTGGCCAGCAAAAGGCAGAAGTCCAGGACTCAGCATTCCAAGCTGGGTGGATATGGCCCTCAGTGTCCCTGCCAGGCAGAGGCACCTGGTCTACCATGATAAGACAAAGCCTCCTGCCTGAGGCCCCAGTCCCTGGGCAGCCCTGTGGCCTGGTCCAGCGCTTATGGAGGCAGCTCCATGAGGCTATATGGCCAGGGGTCCAGGCACCTCGAGGAGCACACTTAGGAGACACCAAGGTACCCTTTAAAAGCATGAGTGCTGGGGAGGCAGAGGGACACTGGGTGCAAAGCCTTTTTGAGGGCCACCTGGCCGCTTCGGTCAGTACTCTAAGTGCACACACGATTGGACTCAGAGCTGCCCTCTGCAGTTTATTCTTAGTCAGTGAGTAACTCACGGTGATATTTATGTGGCCAGCTGTAGGTTTGGTGATATTGTCACAGGGGGTTGAGCCCATTTGCCATGGACAGGAGGGGCAGGGTATGTAAGGGTGTTTTTAGAACACTGCTTTTTAAAACATTACTCATGACTAGTTCTCAAAGAGCAGCTTTCATTTTATGGTCTGTTGTGTTTTGTGATTTTAAAGGAACAAGCACATCTAGGGTCAGTCCAAACACTCAGGGAGACACACAGGAAGTCAGGGATGCTGGGTACGTGTCATCCTTCGCTGGGGTCCCCTGGGTTGCTGTGCTATCTGCAATGAGTGGGGACCTACCAGGTGGGGTGGGGACCTACCAGGCAGGGTGCCGCAGGACGTCCTTGCCATCGAAGGAGAAGATGCGGGTCCCGGGCTTCAGCTGGCCCTCGGTGCCTGAGAACAGGGCCTCCCAGCTGGGAAACAGCACCTCATCCTGCAGAGAGAAGACGGGGTGGGGTTTGTCTGCAGTCCCTGGTCACATCCTGCCAGAGAGACGGGCAGTCTCTGCAGACCCCAAGAAGCTACTGGCTGTGGCAGAGGGACCCAAGCCCCTAGAACTGGTCTATCAGAGGGTATGCTGAGTAGCAGGTTGCCTGCTCCCAGCTCAGGACCCTGGGGTTTGTGAATCCTCCACTGTCAGTTCTAGGGAGCACGGGGCACCCAGAAACCATACCAGTTCAGAAAAAGGAGCCACAGAATTAAGCCACAGGAGGCATTGTGACAGGAGCTTCTAGGCTGGGTGGCACTGGAGGCCTGAAGGCTGTGTCCTGACTCCATGCTACAGAACACAGCCATCACCTATGTGGCCAGCAGCATATAGGTGCCCCTGGAAACATCCACATGTGACAAGCACCAGAACCCTGGGAGGCATTGCTGAGGGCATGGACTCAGGGGACTACAGAGGGACTTAAGTACACTCTATGGAGCCACAGGGATGCAGAGACCCTGGTCTGGGTCTTGTGGAGGGTGACCCACCCAGAGCCCACCCTGAAGACTCCAGCTTGCTGATGGTAGCTGTACCATGGCACCCTCCAGAGGCACTCAAGGGAAGCCCCTGCTGGGAAGTCACACCTGAGGCCTGATGGGGGCACTGGAGGACTCCTGTGGGCCATCTGGCAGGCACCCCAGGATAGGCCTGACCCACCTTAAGGTTGACAATGGGCACGGCCCCGCGGTCGGCACGCCGCACAATGCTGTAGAGGTCCTGCAGCCGTGAGGACAGGAAGGCTCGGAAGGTTCCTGCCAGCCCCACGGCCCGCGCCTGCTGGAAGCACTGGAAGTCGGCCCCACGGATTCCACGCATGCCACCTGACAGTGGGCTGTTGAGTGCCACTAGGTGCAGCTGCAGGAAAGGCCGCACAGTGTTAGCTGCATCCTACATCTCCCTCCCCCACTAGCTGGAGCCCCAGAGACTCTGGGCATGTGCCCAAGCCCCATGAGGACAGGTGTGATCCAGGAGGGCAGAATAGGCGGATGCCTGGCAGCTCTACAGAGTCAGGACTTGCCTTCACTGCCTGAGAGCCAAAGAGCTGGGTGGTCCTGAGCCCACCTGGGGCACTCACCACTGGCTGGAAGTCCTGGTGGGTATGGGCGGGGGAGCCCGTGGGACGCACTGGTCGCAGGTGCATGTAGGAGCCGTGGTGTGATACTCCGGGGTAAGGCCGGGGGTCAGGCAGATGAGGGGGGCTGGCCAGGATGTCATCTGCCCGCCAGGGCCTCTCGGTGGAATGAGCGTGTTCCCGCCGGGGGTATGGGTTGCTGTCATGTAGCTGTACCACGGGGGGCTGCAGGGCTGCCACTTCATTGTCCTGAGGGTCAGAAGGCATGGGCTGTGGGGCAGGGCTCCTCCTATCCCATCCTGCACTCCTTGGGCTCTTGGTGGGAGAGGGCTGGACTCTGAGCTGGTGAGCAGGGAGCTGCACCCCTACACCCCAGGTGCTGTGGGAGTATGAAGGCAGGAGCAAGGGAGGAAGCCCTTCAGCCCATGATGCCTAGATGGAAGGTGGCTCTGCTTGGGCACCCCAGCCCCTCTATGCTCAGAAGCCACACTCCTCACTGACCACAGCCCCCTGACCTCCTGCTCATTCCTTGAGGCTGCTCAAACCCAAGGCATTGACACCAGGACAATGACCTTCTCAGCTCCTTGAACCTTTGCTCCCCAGCCCTCTCCACCCCTGCTCTAGACTCCCCTGACTCTGCACCTTCCCCACAACACTGAGCACTGAGCACTAATTCACCTATGTGCTGTCAGTACTGCTGTGCCCCAGGCAACACCAGCTTAGTGTTGTGTGCATGGCTGTGTCCCATGCCTAGAACAGTACCCAATATGCAGGAGGGATTTGCTGAATTAATGAATGAATGGATAAGAGAATAGACTGGGCTGAACCCTGTGGGTAGGTGGTTCATCCAGAGCCCAACCCACGCTACTTAACGTGAGGACTCATTCCTGAGTCATTTAAGGTCATGACATCTACTCAAGGAGGGGCCTACAGTAGTGGAACACTGAACTTGGGAAAACTAAAACAATTCCACTCATCCACCCACTCACCCACCTGTTCACCATCCATCATCCATCCACCCATCCACCACTCACCTGCCCATCCATCCATCCAACCACCCAACCCACCCATCCTTCCATCTGCGCACTTACACGTATGTTCATCATCCATCCACCCACACACTCACCCACTCACCCACCTCTTCACCATTCATCATCCATTCATTCATTCACCACTCACTCACCTGTCCATCCATCCTCCTTCCACCCACCCATCCACTCACCAACTTACACCATTCATCATCCACCCACCACTCACTCACCTGCCCACCCATCCAAATTCATCCATCCACACACGTTCATCCATCATCCATTTACCCACCCACCACTCACTCACCTGTCCATCCACCCACCCACCCACCACTCACCCACCTGTTCACCGTCCATCATCCATTTACCCACCTTCCACTCACTCACCTGTCCATCCATCCATCCACCCACCCACTCACCCACCTGTTCACCGTCCATCATCCATTCACCCACCCACCACTCACTCACCTGTCCGTCCATCCATTCATCCATCCACTCACCCATCCACCCATCTACCACTCACTCATCTGTCCATTCATCCACCCTCCCACTCACCTATCCATCCATCCATCCATCTACCCACCCACTCACCCATCTGTTCACCATCATCCCTTCAGCCACCCACCCACTCACCTGCCTATTCATCCATCCACTCACCTGTGCATCCCCATCCACCGACCAGTTCATCCATCTTCTGTCTGCCTGTCCATCCATCCATCTACCCATCCACATACCCACATGTCCCATCAATCCATCTAACCATCTGCCCACCTACCCACCCATCCCTCTGGAGAGATCTATTCCTGCATCTGTGATTCTGAGTGAAGGAAGAAAAAGATAGATGTGGATTTTGGTCCCAAGGAGATCTACCCCAAAGAGGGCACTGAGCCACAGACACACTAGAGGCACAGGAGTGGCACCCTCTTGAGATAGCCAACTGAGGTGGGGCACCTATTGTGGTCTGCACCCACTTTCCACAGCAGGGGCCAACTGTGAGTCACACTCTTGGCTCCAGAACTCCAGAGAACCAAGTGTTGTTCCAGAAATGGGACTGTGCATGCCCCCGTGTCCTGCTCATCCACCCAAATCTCTAACAACGACAAAAATACACTCCTTACTGTCCCTCGTGGGAGTGGCGTCCGGGCCTCCAGCTGGAAGAGAACAGCAGGGTTACTCCAGCAACCCTGACCTCAGCCACCCACCCACTCCCATCCCCCGGCACCTGACCTTCCCACACATGTGTATCATGATGCTACCCTCCACCTCTTTCTACTGGAACAAAGCCCCTGCACAGTTGACACCAGCCAGTGTCTTCGGTTGAGACCCACAGCCCCAGCCAGATGGAGGGATGGAGCTGGACTCACTGTCCAAATGGTGTGGACTGGGCCAGGGCAAGGGCTGGTGACAGGAGGGGATTTCCCAGTAGTTTGGGGCTGCATTAACACACTGATCAACACAGACTCTCAGTGGAAGATGGTGGAGTTCCCTGGGCCCCAGTGGGCTGCTGTAGGGGCACAGTGCTGGCCTTCATGCATCCTCTTGTTTGCCATGCAAAGGACAGACCTCCCCCAGGCCCAGGGAGCCAGGCTATGCCTGCCTGGTCAGACAGGTCCGCTTGCTGCAGCCCAGGCTGGTTCTGGGACAGCAGGAAGGGGCTGGCCTTGTCCTCTCCAAAGGGCTGAGGCCAGCATGATGACCCCATGTGTTCGAGGATCCTGTGGCTAGGCCCTGAAGCCAAGCAGCTTCATGCATCCTGAAGCCCAGTCCCAAGGACGCTCGTCTCCTCTCAGCTGTGTTTCTGATGCAGTGGAGCAGCAGAACTCCCCCCTCCACTCCCACCAGCCATGCTGTGTAGCATCGTGCTCAAGGGACCAAGCAAACCCCTGGCACCTTGTCCTGTGCAACCCCTTTTCTCGCGAACATGAGAATGAGGCATGGTCATTGCTGCAAACGGTGACAACCACATGGACTGCCTGGGAATCGGGTGTTGTACACTGACCATGCAGCACATTCATTCACCCACCTAAGGAGTGTGTGGGTCACTTTCTTTAACCCTCAAGCTGCTCAACAAAGTGGTTTACTAATTTATAAAAGATAGTTTAAAAGTGCAAGGAGAGGCGCTGGCTGCCAGTCTCTACCTTCTGCACAGCCCACTGCATCCCCTGCGTCTCCCCCACAGGGCAGTGGGCAGGTAGCATGGGTCCTCAGTTCAGGAAAGGGCCGCAAGACTCACCTGGACTTTGCGGAAGCCGTTGCGCACTCGCACATAGAGCTCCTCCCGCTCAGCCACGAAGAGTAGCCATCCCTCAGGCACCTCGTGCACCGTGTCCAGCATGGCCTGACGTGTGGCCCAGATGCGTACCTGCTGAAACCCAGACCAAAGATGGTTCTGCTGGGGGTAGTGTCAGGGCCATGGCAGGGGTGGGGACGGAAGGGTGCTGCACCAACATCACTGTAGCAGTGGGGGTGCTGGGCGCAGAGGAGGCATGGGTGTGGCTGTGGACTCTGGTCAGTTGTAGACACAGGTGGCCACCCCCATGAGCACTATTGGGGGCATCCTCCCACTTCCCATCCCATTCCACTGCACACAGTGCTGGGAACCTCGCAACAGGCTGTCTTCCTCCTGGGCCCACCCAGCTTCCCAGCTGACTCCGGCCCCATGTCAACTCTGAAAACTCTATTTCAAGGTTTCCGATATGTCCTGTGGGGTCCACAGGAGGAGGCCTCCCATAGGAGGGGCTGGCAAGTGGGGTCTGATGGGTCAGGTCTGCAGAACTTCATGGGGCACAGGGAGGTGGCTGCCTGGATACTTACTCCTGCGGAGGCACCCATGGTTCCAGGGGGTCCGGGGGGGCCAGGTGGGCCTGGGGGCCCAGGAATGCTGATGGCTATGAGAGAGAAACCAAGGTAGAACCATGTCCATGTGAGGTGGCCATGCAGGGCAGCCAGGGGACAGTTGTAACAGACTCTGCCCAGGGCTCACTCCCCCGACTTACTCTGCCTGTGAGGGCCAGGGAATGAAGGGGGGCCAGGGGGGCCGGGGGGACCAGGAGGGCCCTGGCGTCCCTCATAGCCAATGCCGGGGGGTCCTTGAGGTCCAGGTGGGCCAGGTTGACCCCGGATGCTCTCTCCCTTGGTACCCTAGGGACAACAAGACATCATGGCTACCTGCAGGCCTGGGCTGGGACAGGTGAGCTGAGGGGCTGGGCTATATACCACCATGAGCCTGCTGGGGTGAGTGTGGTCCCTGTATCACTGGTCACCTCAATGCCCACACCCCAGCCTGGAAAGCCCAGACCTTTCCCACACCACCACCTTTTTGCTGGGTTGCGATCCGGAGACCAAAGTGGGCCCCAACAACAGGGGACCCTCTGGGCAGAAGCAGGGCTCAAGGCTCTCTGGAATCTTTCAGGACAGATGGGGCCCTAAACCCTGAGGGCGTGTGACCCAGTCCTACTCAGGGCTTGGCACAGAGGCGAAGGGACCAGTACTGCAGGAGCACAAACCAAGGAACATTGGTGGGGGTGTCCTGGGGGCATCCACTCCCACCAAGTCTGCCATGCCCCACCCCCCCCCAGGGGCAAGGATGCTTCAGGGGCCTGCTAGGGCAGCTGAACTCAGGCTGTAGTCTTGTCCTTAGCCCACATTGGTGTACCCACCCTTGGCCCCTGAGCCCAGAGCTAGGGACATGAGCTCTGTCTGTATAGGCCTGGGCCTTACCGGAATTCCAGGATAGCCTGGTGGTCCTGGAGGGCCAGGGGGACCGGGCACGCTGGAGCCGAAAAACCCACCAGCTCCGGGCTCACCCCTCTCGCCTTTCTGTCCTGCAGCCCCTCGGTCCCCCTTCTCTCCCTGTGGATGGAAACATTTGTCTGACACAGCCCAGCTCTCACTGCTGGGTTGGGAAGGGGAGGCAGGAGGCACCAACTCCCACATCCACAGGGGAGGCCTCCTTGTGTCCCTCCCATGTCAAGGCCAGGCAGCTGGAAGCTTCTGGAGCCCAAACCTTGTCTGGGGCCTGCCAGGCGCTGACCCCACAGCACAGGGCTCAGCTTCCAACTCCTGCTGCATCAGCCAAGTCCCCTCAAAAGGAGCCAGAGTGGGGAATGTCCTGAGGTGCACCCTGTGGGGCCCATGCTCCTCATGAGGGTGATCAGAGAGAAAGCTCTTGGCCCTAGGCAGCATGAGGATGAAGCCATCCACCTGACACAGCTGCGTGAAGGGATGTCCGGACATCCCCACCCCCACCAGGCTGGTCACCCACCTTCATTTCAGCCTCCAAGCGGAGGAGGTCGAACGGGAACTGCCCTAGAGTGGGAGAGAGAAGGGGAAGCCTCGCTGGGATGATGTCTCACAACACCCAATCCTCCACACGGCCTCTCCCATCTGTTTAAGCTGGCCTTCATTTCATCCAGACATTTTGGTCTTTCTCTTGTAGAGATTGTATGTATTTATTTCATCACATCTATTCCTAGTTAATTGATGTTATTAAATGTTTTTTGTTAACAGTGACTTTTCTTTTTTTTTTTTTTGAGTTGGAGTCTCACTCTGTCGCCTAGACTGGAGTGCAGTGGCCACTCCCGGCCACCGCAACCTCGACCTGCTGGGCTCCGGTGATCCTTCCGCCTCAGCCTTCCAAGTAGCCGGAATTACAGGCATGCGCTACCACACCCGGCTGATTTTGTGATTTTATTGTTGAGATGAGGTCTCACTGCCCAGGCGGGTCTCGAACCCGCAGGCTCAGGCAATCCACTCACCTCAGCCTCCCAAAGGCGTGGGATTACAGGCTGAGCCACCAAGCCCGGCTAACAGTGACTTTTCAATACCTTTTTTAAATCGTCTGAGACTAGCCTTTGAATGTTCTCAGTGGCCTATAAACCTGGTGACCTTGGTAAAGTTACTATTAATCCTGGTGGTTTCTCCGCCTTTTGGGTTGTTAATGTGGAAAACACGCAGTCTGTGAACAGGGTGATTTCTCCCTCCCCTGGTCCTGCCTCTCCTCTCCCTTGCCTCCTCCCTGCGTGGGTGGGGGGGTAGGAGGAACAGCTGTGTCTCGTTTTGCCTGGAGAGATGCCCCCCAGGCTCTCAGCCAGTCCATGCAGCAACCCCCTCCTGAAATCATTGTGATGGGGGCATGTGACTATTTCAGCCTGATTCTCAAAGAATTAACTTTTAACTTGTTTACTTTCCTGATCCTCCCTATTTACATATATAAAACATACTAGTTTTCTTCATTTCTGATCTTTATTTTATTCAATTATTTATTTGTTTTTGAGTCAGCTTCTCACTCTGTCACGTAGAGTGCAGTGGCATGATCACAACTCACCACAGCCTTGACCTCCTGGGCTGAGGCGATCCTCCTACCTCAGCCTCCCTCCTGAGTAGCTGGGACTACAGGCACATACCACATCTAGTTAATTTTTTTCTTTGATTTTTTTTTTTTATAGAGATGAGGTCTCGCTATGTTGTTCAGGTTGGTCTCAAATTCCAGGGCTCAAGCAATTCTCCCACCTTAGCCTCCCAAAGTGCTGGGATTGCAGGCGTGAGCCACCATGCCCGGCCATTTTTGATCTTTAATTTCTTTCCATCTATTTTTATCAGGTTAAACTTGCTGTTTTTCTGACTTCTTGAGTTGGATGCGTAGAAACACTATTTAAGGCTGTAATTTTGTGAGCAGAGGGAACAAAGCCCCTTCTCCAGTTCCAGGTGGGGAAGCAACCTTGGGCTAATCTCCTCCCATTATTGTTCCCCTGAAGCCAGACAGGGGTGAAAATGACTCCACCTGGGTGCCTGTGGGAACAGCTCTGGTCCCTGCCCCAAGGCCACTACCTGATTGCCATTCCCTGGCCTATTACCCAGCAGGTTCTGAACAGGTAGTCCCATGCCCCCAGGGACCACTCATCTCACAGGTGCAGTCACTGGGGCTGGAGGCAACAGCTGCTGTCAGGACCTGTGCCCCCTCCCAAGCTGGGCCCATCCCTGGGTGCTTCGGCAGAGTAAGGGACCAGTGGTTGGCCCTGTCGCCTGTGAGCCTGGGTCACACCCCAGCAAGGCCCTCCAGGCAAGGCCTCCTTCCCTGGACAGATGTCCTCCAGTGCTGATCCCTATCCCTGTGGGGGGAGGGGACATCTCAGTACCCCGCACCCTGAGGGTGCTATCTCTTTTGGGAGGTGCCCATTTGGGTCCAGTGAGGGCGTGGTTGCCTGTTCCTTAGGGGGTGGGTGATAGAGCATCCCGCTGGGCTGCCAGCCTATAGTGCCACCTACTTGGTCCCCTTGTCTCTGCAGCCCTCCCTGAGTGTAGGTCCCTGAGGGTGCCATGAGCACAGAAGGGACTTCTGTCCTCCAGGAGGGGAGGCAGTAACCACATGCAGGTGAGGATCCAGGACCTGCTCAGGGCTCTGGGCATCTCCTAGCACTGGGGCTGGATACACACCCCAGCCTCTCTGCTGGAGTCCCCAGAGAGTGCTCACCTGGTGGTCCGGGTGGGCCCACTTCTCCTTTCTCGCCCTTTGGTCCTGGAGGGCCCTGGTACCCTGGAGGAACAGAGACCCCAGTGCCCATCACTGAATGCACCAGCAAGGGCCTCTGGGACAGTGCCCCTCCTGGGGATGGACATGGGGACAGTCAGAACAGATGCTTATAAGAGCAGAGACATGTGCTAACTGCCAAAGGGTTGGGGCAGCTGAGGGTGAGGGAAGCTCAGTTGGGAACTGGTGCCTAGGAAGGGAGTCCTGTGTCCCGTGCAGCTGTCTCAGGCAGAAAGCGACTGAAACTCCCTGCTGACTGACATCACTGAGGCAATACCCTGGGCTCAAGAGACAGCAGCTACTGCAGGTTATGATACAGTGCTGAGCAGAAATCACGACTGACAGGTACATGCTGGACATGGGGTGCCCTTCGAGAAAACCACCCAGGCTTCTGGTCCAGATGGGCTTGGGTTGTGTGTGTGCATTTTTCTGCCTGCATATGGCAGGGAAGGGGAATCTCAGCTGAGGACAGTCGATGAGGGCCCAATTTCAGACCCATCTGTGGGGCTTTGAGGGCCTTGAGGGCCGGTGGAGGAGTAGTGAGACCATCAGGGCTGGGTGTGGGCTGAGCATGTGGCACCAGCCTCGGGGTACAGGGCGACTCCCACTGGTGCCGGATCAGGGAGGAGAGATATGTCTGGAGCATCCCTGCCGAGCCTGGAGCCCTCACCTGGCAATCCCGGAGGCCCAGGGTGGCTGGACTCGACAAATGCCTGCAAAGAACAGGACAGAGGTGGCCGCTGAGGGGGTGGTGTTCTGGAAACCAAGGCCCCATCTGCTCAGGGGCCCAAGCCCAGAAGCCCCAGCCTCTCTGTGAGGCTATGCTGCAGCCTCCCCCACACAGTTGTGAGGGACACGTGTGGAACCAGTAGCATCTCAAGGGGCACTGCCTCTGAGCCTGGTAAGGGGGTGCCTCTGGCCCAGGCCCTTAGCACTCTTCCAGTTGAAGCAGCTCCAGAGCCAGAGCTCCCCTGCCTGGGCCTTCCCCTCCCCCAGGGACTTGCCTTATAATCCACTGCCTTATAATCTAGTCTGCCAGACAGGCCCATCCCAGTAGGACCCCAGATATAGAGGTCAGTGGTGAGGGTAGAAGTCTGCAGGAACCATGGGCACCTGGAGTGCCCTGGGGACTTACATTGCTGTCGTAGACAGGAGTCCCTGGAGGGCCTGGGGGTCCTGGAGGCCCTGGGAGACCAGGCAGTCCCTGTGTGGGGACAGAAAACTCTGGTCAGTCAGGTTCCTGGCCAGTCATTCGACACTGACCAGGCAGTAGGCAAGGGTAGGAAAGTTTCTGAGAATCAGTAAAATCAGAAAGCCAGATGCATCTGCCAGTGTAAAACCAAGAGTGCCATGAGTTCACTCGGGCCATGGGCTCATGAGAACAGGCTGGCTGACCTCGTCTCCAGAGCAGAGCTGTGCTCAGACATGCCTCAGGGAGGAGTGAAGCGACTGCCAGGCAGCCATGGACATGCCCATGCCTGTGGTCGTTCATTTTCAGACTCGACACGCAGGTCAGCAAGTATCCCTGAGTTAAAATCCGGGAAGCAACTCTTAGAGGCTTTAACGTGTGTGTGGATTTCACTGAATTTGTGTTTATTTTCTAACTGGAGGGTCTGATTCAGGCAGCATCAGAAGGGCTCGTTCTGATAGCTGCACACCCACCCAGCAAAGGCCAGGGGCCTCTGAGGGGCCCTAGGAGAAAGGGTGGAGCAGGCATGAGGTTACGCTTCTCTCCCCTCCTTCAGTCAGTCCCCTTTTTGGGTCACTCGCCTGCCTGTCTGTCCCGTTGTCACATCCCTAGCTGCTGCCTGACAGTGTCCATGGGAGGAGGCAGGATCTCAGGCCAATAAGAGGGACATGTGGAATGACCAGCTCCAGAGGACCACCTGCCCCGGGCTCACAAGGGGCCATGAGAGGGATGCATGGAGTGACCAGCTCCATGGGACCACCAGCCCAGGACTCATGAACAGGAGTGAGTTTGCTGCCACCCAAGTAAAGATGCCCCTTGTGAGGCTAGCGGCCACTCAAGCAACTTTAGAGACAGACAGTGAGAACAAAATCCCAGAGCCCATCTTTTCCTTGTTGACAAACGTGACCCATCTTTGTGTCACTGTCAGTACTCTGTAGAATGCTGCAGTTTGTTCTTGATTTTTCACACAGTGACAGCCACATTTTAGACCACAAGACATTTGAATTGCCTGAAAGGCCATGTGTCTATGCCCATTAGGGAGACAGGGTAGGGGAGATAGGAATCACAGGGCAGGTACTCCGTTGAGTGAGGGAAGCTCAGTTGGGAACCGGTGCCTAGGAAGGGAGCCCTGTGTCCTGTGCAGCTGTCTCAGGCAGAAAGCGATTGGAATGCCCTGCTGACTGACATCACAGAGGCAATACCCTGGGCTTGAGAGACAGCAGCTATTGCAGGTTATGATACAGTGCTGAGCAGAGATCACGACTGGCAGGTACATGCTGGCCATGGGTGCCCTTCGAGAAAACCACCGAGGCTTCTGGTCCAGATGGGCTTGGGTTGTGTGTACATGTACACATGTGTTTATGTGCACATGTACGTGTATGTAAGTATGAGTATTTGTCTATGTATGAATGTGCCTGTGTACATGTGGATATGAGTATGACTGTGTACAGGTATGCATGCATATATGTGTACACATATATGCATGTATGGGTGTACACATCACATATATGTGAATATATGAATGCATGTGTGAATTATGAATGTTTACACATGTGCACATGTACACGTGTATGGCTGTATACATGTGTGATGTATACATGCATGGGTGCATATGTATATATGTGAATGTATGAGTATATGTATTTACATGCATGCACATGTATTAGTGTATGGGTGCACATATGTACATGTGCATATGTCTGTGTACACATGTGCACACAAGTGTAGATGTATGTATATGTATGCATGTATATGAATGCATGTGTGTGTGTACACAGGTATAAGTGTGCATGTGCGTGTCCCAGATCCAGTGTGGCATGGCCACACCACAGAGCTGCTCTTAGGCAGCCTCTGACAGATGAGCTTTGGGATCCTGGGTGCTGGCTAGGCCATTTGTGGCTCATGGTGTCCCAGCTGTCCCTCGCAGGACACTCACCCTCATGCCAATTCCAAGGTTGGCGTCTCCTGGCTCCCCTTTCTCTCCTTTCAGTCCATTCACCCCGGGACGACCCTGGGGAAGAGCACAAGGGGAAGAAATGATGTGTGTGGCCACCCTTGTATTGCCTGTGTCCTCCCAGTGTGGCTGCCACAGGCCCCATCCCCCTCAGTCCCCACCCAGGATCAACTCCTGAGCCAGCCTGCCATGGCCCTTCTCCCCTCCTTCCTGCTTGAGGACCCTTTGGGGAGGCGTGGCTGACTCTGGCATACCCAGGCCCACAGCCCATTCTCCCCAAACCCCCCAATGGGTCCAAGCTCTCTACAGCCATACTGGGAATGAGAGCTGTGCTCAGGCAGGTGCATTCTGGGGGAGAACAGTGGGAGGACAGCTGTCCACTCCTCTCTGCCTGCCGCCACTGAGCTTGGGACGCCCACATGTGCCAGGCCCCACCACCGCCTCCCAGTGACCCAGGTCCTTACCGGCCGTCCGGGAAAGCCAATCTCTCCCTTGTACCCAGGTCGTCCATAGGGGCCCTAGAGGGGAAGGGAGCTGGGCTGAAGCAGGCAGATGGTGTAGGTGGCTGGAGCCCAGCTAGAACCTTGTGCTGGGGCCTGGGCGAAGGAGGACCATGCAGGGCCGGCCCCTGGGATTGCCCACCTGCTCCGGCCGCCTGCCCAGCTTCCTGCCCCTCACCTGCCTGCACATTTTACAGCTGCAATTGGAGATGACCCTGGGCCACATGCTCAGCAGCCACAGGTGACACATGTCCTTCTAGTCCATGGCATACCCATGCTCACCACAAAGGGCACCAGGGGCCTACTCACCGGGGGTCCTCGGAAGCCTGGCTCTCCCTGAAGAGAAAATCAGAAAGTGTCTTCAGGTGGCAGCCTACCCCATCAGCACAGCCTCCCCAAGGACCCCTATGCCCATTGGACTCATTGGGGTGGTGCCCAGGGTCACAGGCAACAGGACATGCCAGCTGGAAGGAGGTTCTAGATCAGGTACTATGCCGGTGCAAGCACAGGCCCCTTAGGCCCAGACTCGGGGTGAGGTCTTGCTTGTGCAGAGCTCTGGCTGGGGTTTCCTCAGGCCCCATGTAGAGGTAAAGCTGGGCAGGACCTGTGAGGATCTCTCTGGGTCCTGGTATCCTGTGTCTGAGGCCCACCCCAAGTCCTGGAGGGCCATGTGCTCCTCCCCAGACCCTTTCCCTAGTGCCTGTCTGGTGGCTGCTGCTGGGGATGGGGCCCAGGACACAGGCCCCTCTAGGGATTGACCCCTGGCCCTGCCATGTTCCAGATCCTGCAGGTGCCTGAGACCATGGAGAGGAAGGAGGGCCAGGGACCCACTTCCCACAGCCTCAGTACCCCCAGGAAAAGTCTAGAAGGGAGAGAGCTGGGTGCAGCCTGGGTCCTTCATCTCCTGCAGGGTAGGCAGACCCCTCTTCTCTGCAAGGTAGGCTCCAGGGCAGGGGTCAACAAGAGGCTGGTGGGGCCTCCCAATGCAGTCATGTGAAGTAGACAGAAAGGGAAGGGCCACAAGGGCCCAGTTGTGAATGCTTCAGAACCTGCTGGAAGAGACTCAGAGCTGGCCCCCATCTCAGGAAGATAGCCCCTTCACACTGTCTCCACAGTCCTCAGAAGCCCAACTCTGCTGAAAGGAAATGATTGCCCTCACCTTGGCTCCTTTCTGGGCTGGGGCCAGGATGCTGCCATCGGGGCCAAAGATGCTGCTGGGCTCCCCCTTCTCACCCTGGAATGGCAGAAGGGGAAGCAGGCTGGGGGACCCCTAAGGCCTCACCCAGAACCCAAAGTGGCCCCTGGGATCAAGCGTCACAGCCTGGGGTCATCTCATGGGTCCCAGGGAAATGACCACAGGCACAGCTTAAGTTGGAATCTGTCACACCACTGGTCAAAATCCACTGGGGTGACATGGCTGGGTCAGCCTGGGGGGGGTCTCCAGGTGCCACCCCACAACCAGTCATCTGGGGACTGGGGCTGCCCCTTAGGTCACAAAGTGGGGCTGTCACCGAAAGGCACTCGGTATTGGCCAAGGCTTGGGCTGCTGAGGGGCCTCTTGGGCTCTGGCCCCAGGAGGACTGCGGTGAGCTCCTTACCTTGGGTCCTGGGGAGCCCCGCTCGCCTTTGGAGCCAGAGTCGCCCTTGGGGCCTGCGGGTCCCTAGAATGGAGACCACACAGGCATGAGGAGCTCAAGTCATCTAGCGCCTCTCCAACCCTAGACAGTCACTCACACTTTCCCCCACAGCTGCTCCTGGTCATGTGCCTGCCTTGTCCGGCCCTGCCAGTGACACCCCACCAAGACCCCCTTGCACCAAGTGGCCCCTGGGGATTCTGTTCAGGTACAAGAAGGTCCTTCAGCTTTGGGGGTCCCTTCCACCCCCCTTCTTGCTGAGGTTTTCACTGACTTCCACTAACATTGTCATTTCCCGAGGACCTTGACTATCCCACCCCTCTGGCTGCACAAGGCCTACCCAGCTCTACAAAGAGAAGACCCCTCCCTAGCTCAGCTCTGGAGTGAGGTTACTTACAGGAAAGCCTGCAAATCCTGGCCTGCCCTGGGGAAAAAGGAACCACATCAGCCTGGGGCCAGGTTGTATCCAGAAATGCCAGACATGCCATCCAGCTGCTGCCCCACCCAGTCCTGCATGTCCCAGACCCTCACCCAGACCCATGCACTTCATATCCTCACCCAGACCTGAGCACCCTAGACCCACACCTAGATTTGTACAACCTAGACCCTCATCCAGACCGTATACCCCAGACCTGCACTCAGACCTGTGCTTCCCGGATCCACACTCAGACCTGCATACCTTAGACCCTTACCCAGACCATGCACCCCAGACCGACACTCAGACCCATACTCTCTGGACCTGCACACCTCAGATCCTCACCCAGACACTCACCCAGAATGTACACCCCAGACTCACCCAGATCTATACCCAGATTCACACACCCTGAACTCACACCCAGACCCACACTCAAGTCCCCAGCAGGCGTGTTTGCTGAAGGTGAGGTGGGCACACGTACCTCGGGTCCTGGCACACTCAGGACAGTTCCCTGTCAGCAAGCCAGGAGAGAATTAACATTGAGGGGGGAAAAAAAGCTGCATTTATGATTAAACTCAGCTCCCATTATGTTACTACTGCAAGATCAACAAAACAATATCAAAAAAGGAAACGTGAAAGGAAAATTGTGCTTTCTACAGTCTGTCTGGTTTTTGCCTGAAGGGCCCTCAGGTAGACCCTGAAGCCACTTCCCGGGGGTCCCGCCTCCCCCAGCAGAGGCTACCCTCAGTTCAGAGCAGTCATTGACCCAGACTTCAGACTCCCTAAGGGCCATGATTTTAAGTCCATTCTGGTTTAAAATATGTCTCACAATCCACGAGATGCTTTCTTGTCCGCCATGTGGAGATGAGGGACAGTCCTACCTGCGTGGGGCATTTCTGACTGACCATCATGCTTAAGTCCACATGGCAGGGGCAGGCTGGCAGTGGCCCAGCCACGACCTTCTGGGCCTGCATGCCCTCACACCACTGGACTCGCCTGTTGTTTTTCTGCTGCTCTAGTCAGTCTGGGCAGGCCCTCCACTGACTGAGCAGGCCCTCCACTGACTGTCCTCCATGCCTCCCCATATCTTCAATGAGGAAATCAAGCACAGGTAGGCTAGGGAGCATGTGCCGGGTCACACAGCTGATGGTGTGGGAGCTGCGATCTGAGCCAGGCTGTCACACCCACACCTGCTCTCAACTCAGCCGCAGATGGCCCCTTCCACCAAGGGGAAGCTGGGATCTGAGTTGCCAACCACACACAGCCCCATACCCTGGGCCCTGTGTCTAGCAGATAGCTTAAGCTCCAGCTCCAGGGAGTACTGCTTGGACACTAAACTTGGGCTCTGACCAAGGGCTGACTCCTCTGTCCCTGTGGCGTGAGAGCATGGCCCGAGGCAGGGGATCCCCCTCCACTGGTGGGGGGGTCTAGGTAAATCAGGTGCCCACCCACGCAGGGTCCTTACGTCCTGCTCTGACACGTAAACCACAGGTCCTGGAGGTCCGGGGGGTCCAGGGAGGCCCGGTTGTCCCACTCCGTCCTTCCCTGCGTCGCCCTAGAAGAGAATACCACATGTCCAGTGCTTCATTGAGGCTGCTGTGGCCACACCTGGAGCCCACCATGCCTTATACGCTGTACTCCCCGCCAAGAGCTGACCCTGCTGCCTCCAGGGTCTCTACTCTGAATGTCTCAGGTCATGGGGTGAGGTAGGCAGTGGCCCAAGGGTAGCCCCAAGCTTTGCCATGCTGAGTGTGTCACCCCATGGGGGTGAAGTAGGCATGGGCTGGAGGACATCCCATCTCACAGGGTTGAGGCACCGGCCCAAGGGCAGGGTGAAGTAGCATGGGCCTGGGGACGGTCCTCCAGCCTTGCTGTGCTGGACGTTCCACCCCATGGGAGTGAGGTGAGCACGCCCCACCCCAGCCTTGTCATGCCAGAACGTTCCACCCCACATGCCCACCCACTGAGCACCCCCAGACCCTGAACTTGTACCCTGCCCCCGAGGACACTCACTTTTTCTCCCTGACTTCCTCTCTCTCCTTTTGGTCCCTGCAGAGATGGGAAGGAAATGGTTGGTCATAAACAGAAAAAGGAACCCCTTCCAAGGCCCCTCAACTGCCAGGGACTGACTTTTAATGAAGACATGGAGAATTTTCTATTCCCTAACCAATGGGGCCTGAGGAAAGAGGGGCAACCACTGAAAGCCCTGGGGTACAGAGGATAGGGTTGGAGTGGCCATGAACATGCCAGGTGTCAGCCCCCATCTCGGCCTGGTCTTTTAGGACTCTACCCTTCAGCACCCTGGACCCACCATGGCTGCTCACCTGGGGCCCAGAAGGGCCCTCTCTGCCAGGGATGCCGGGAAACCCGGGGGCGCCATCTGCTCCAACTTCTCCCTGAGAGGGACACACGGGGGCGCTGGGCATCAGTCACATGCCTGTGGCTGCAGGGACATCCCTTGAGGAATTCACAGCATCTGTGGATGCAATGACCACCCAAGCTTCTCTCGGTCAAGCCCTGAAGGGTGACTCACACTTATGGGCTTTCTGGGTAGGTAGGGAGGGCAGGTGGGGGAAGGGGGTATGGGGGACTGGTGGCAGGGGCCAAGGGGGGTCTATGTGATCAGACAGCTCTAGAGAGGCTCCTGTGGGAGAAGAGGAAGCCTATGTAATTTAGTAGAACCTGGGGGTGCCCAGGGATGTCCTGGAGGATGCCCTGGAGCTGGGTGGGTGCCCTGGGGGGGGTCTCTTTTGAAATAGGCATGCCTTAAATTATAAGGAGACAAGGCCAGCCATGAGGAAGAATGAGGGAGAACAGGAGTCTGACCCCCAGGCCAGCTCAGAGGCTGGAGCTGAGTTGGCCTCCACACCAAGGCCTGGCCAGTTCCTGGGGACAAGCTGTCATCCCTGGTTGCTGAGGCCCAGAGGGGGCAGGACTTCTGGCCTCGCCCTGGGCCTCCCTGCCCCCAGCTGGTCAATCTCTTGAACATGATCCGGCTTACCTTGGCCCCTGGAGGTCCATGAATCCCAGGATCCCCCTAGGTAGATGAAGGTGCTTGGTGAGTGTCCACCCAGGGTGGCCCACCATTCTCCATAGGAGGGAGGCTGACTACCTAGGATACATCTTACACCTTTCTCCCAACCCTGAGCATCCTGTGCAAAGACCCTGCAGTTTCACAAGCGGAAGGTCCTGGACTGTTCTGGAAGTTGGTGACATATGCCATCATTTTCATGGTTAAGAAGTAACTGCTGAGATGGCTTCACTTTTAACAATTTAAGAAAACTAGTAAATATGCCCTTCTGGAATTTTAGTCATTTGAAATATCCAATGTTTTGTAAACCAAAGCAAAACATTCTTAAAGGACCTGGTGCCCCAGCAGGAGGGTCCAATCCGAGGGGCAATCTTTTGTGCCCTTGGGTTTCCCAGAGCACTGAGGAGAGGACCCCAGCCCCAGATGAGGCCCCTAGGGGTGGGGGTGGGGGGAGGGGTTTCTCCAGCCTCTCAAGTATCTGCCCTGGAAGTTTCAGGGTCTGAGGGGATGGGGGCTGTGGTGTCAGGTGAGGGGCTGGTGTCACCCAGGGACTGGAGAAGCAGAGGACAAAGTTCCCAGGTCTTCCAGGGGTTCACCATCCTACTGTCCCTAAGCTTGGGAGCTTGTGGATTCCTGAGGTTGGGGGTGTGATACCCAGGCTCTTCCCAAGTCCACAAACACACTTTAGACATGTAAGCCAGGAATCGTGATTCCCAGGACTTTAGAAAGAAGCTGGGATGGCCCCACAACATTGGATGTCTGGGGAAAGGTTGTGTGTGGCTGTCTCCCCATCAGGCTACTTGCTATACTTGCTATATTTCCCATGATGAATTCCTACTACTCCTGTTATTAGAACCACATGTAAGACCTTGTCTCTTTCAACCCCAGAGTATGAGGCTGTGGCTGAGCCACTGAATGCCCAGAACCCTGGGGGTCCCAGGCTCTTCTCTCACTGACCTTGAGTCCTGGCAGGCCAGGTGGTCCCTGTTGGGCAGAGGAGACATGGCGTTAGTAGCATTTGTGTAGCACTGGGCCCTGCTGGAAGATGCTTTATCCACAAGAAAACAAACCCACTGGCAAAAACTCAGACTTAAAGAAATACAAGGAAGGGTACCAAGTTAAAATGGCAAAGCCACTCTATGAAAATGGTTTCTGCCCCATTAAAATTTCTCATTCATTATGTTCAGAATAAGACATGTGTCTCAACCACACATGCCCTTCATAGCCTAGGTCTCTGAGGTGAAGCTGAATGCTGTGGCTTCGGGTTACCCCACGTGTCCCCCCGGCAGGGATTATGGCAGGGGTTATGGTACCCACGGCACAGCCAGTATCACTGGTGGGGACTGTGTCACTGGAGGGGCAACAGCAGAGAGACGAAGGGGGAGTCATCCGAGCCCTGATTATTTTAGGACTTTGGTTACTCCTTGCTGACCTAATCCTGACCACTATACACAGTAACAGCAGGACAAGGTGGAGATTTCAGGGGAATGCTCAATTTTTATATAATTCTGATTCTACTCAGCCAAATATTGTTACTTCCCAAACTAAAGCCACAAAAAGAATTCGATGTTTCCCAGAAACACCTGTTCTCTGGGGCCCGTTTGCCCCCTGCTTATTCATCTTGACCACCCATGGGGCTTCCCTGCAGTGGAGGCCCAGTCCTTGTGCCATGACTCTTCAGCTCAGCAAGGGACTATTTCCAAAGAGGGGAGGTGGCCCAAGGCAGGCAGTGCCCAGGCCATGCGGGACTCACTGCTCTGCAGGGCTGCTCCTAGTCCCCGTGAGGCTGGTCCCAGGGATGCCCCCTGCTCCAGGCAGTGCCTCCCTCCCCCAAGAGATGGACAGACCCCGCTTGTGGGCAGTACCTGTGGCCCATCGGAGCCTCGGGCCGTCGACCAGAAGGGTCCCCCGGAGCCTTCCATGTCATCCTGGAGGAGACACACGAGGGACACTCAGGCCTGTGTCCCATCTTAGATGAGGGCTTTCCCTGAGGACAGGCAGTGCCTGAGAGGCAGAGACCAGCCTGGAGTGACCTGGGTAGACCCATCCTTGCCTGGGGAGCATCTGCCATATAACAGGGCTGTGGGTGTGGATGGCCCCATTCAGACTGTCTCAGGTTTGTGTATTCACTGCTAGTGTGAGTGCATGTGCCAGGGTGTAGCTGTACCATGTTCCTTGCGATTAGTCACTGGGACAGCAGGGTATCAATGCCCTTGTTTAGTGCCTTCTGGTGCCACACCAACCCCAGCCCACTGTTCTGCTGGGTCAGTGCAGCCACTCAGGGCTCAGGCATGGGTCCTGCAGGGACTTGGGATGTTCAGGCTGAGATGATGCTATGAGGCCATTACCCAGGAGGTACCCAGGGTGGGGAAGGGAGCAGGAAGCCACAGGCTGCAGACCAAGGCTTTTGGAGGCCAAGAGCAGATGGTACTCACAAATCCAGCAGCGAATCCTGGTCCTGGGGGCCCAGGGGGTCCAGGGGGGCCTGGTGGTCCAGTGGGTCCAGGAGCTCCTGCAAGGCCACTCTCCCCAGGAACACCAGCAAGGCCGGGGTCTCCCTTGCTTCCCTGCACAGGGTGAGGAGAGAGCATCAGGGTCCCAGCCTAGCCCCAGGTGACCACTGCACCCCAGTGAGCTTGATTTTCTTAGAACACTTTTATTTATTTATTTTTAATAGAGACAAAGTCTCAGTACGTTGCCCAGGCTGGTCTCAAACTCCTGGGCTCAAGCGATCCTCCCACCTTGGTCTCCCAGTGTTGGGATTCCAGGCATGAGCCACCATGCCCAGCCTAGGATGCTTCTTAAAAACCTAAAAGTCCAAAGAGATAAATAACATTCTACGAAGCCACGCACACCCAACAGCATCTCTCTCTTCTAACTTTATAAGCCCATTTCATCCACTTAAAGACAAGACAACAGAGGAGAACACAGCGCGCGTGACACTGGGTATCAGTCTACATTGGGCCTTGGTCTACACCGTGCATCACACAGCATGCTGCACATGCGCCTGTTACCTCCAGCCTTGGCCCGGCAGGTGGGGGCAGGGACAGCGAGGAGCTGTAGCAGGTGAGGAGGGGCAGGCCGCTGGAGGGAGCAGGAGGAGAGAGCAGAGGGGCTCAGGGTGCAGCCATGGGATGAAAACCCTGGTAACACCACGGCAGTTGGGATTATGGTGGCACAGGTGTTGCTGTGACTTGGTTAGTCTGAAGGGCCATGGGGAGCAAGAGAGCCAGGAGGCACATATCAGAGTCTGTCAGGGTCCCACAGCCCCAGCCATCTGGTGTGCAAGGGATGCAAGGACCTGGCCAGGGCCCAGTGCAAGGAAGCGCGCTGGGACACAGGGATGGGTGATAGAGAGGCCCTGGTGTCAAGGGTATGGCCAGGAGCAGGGGTCTGGGTTTGGGTGCCGGCTTGACCCAGATGTACTCCCCTGCCCTCCCATCACAGGCACTAAATCTCCCTGAGCCTCAGTTTCCTTATCTGTAAACTCAGAGGACCATAGTTCTCTCCCGGACTCGGGACAAAGCTGAATGAGATAGTGTGAGCCCAACGCTGGCCCAAAACAAGGGCAGGAATGTGACCTGCTGACCTGACAGGGTCAAGGACCCAGTCTGACAGCAGGGGCCCCCGCTGGCCTGCCAACAAGGAAGGGTCCTCCACATGTCCCACATTTCCAGCAGGTTCCTAGCTTTAGCCCACCCTCCATCCCCTCCCCCACTGCTGACACAACACAACCCCCGCCCGCTTCCTATTTTCAAACTCCAAGGGACCAGTTTCTATGCACTTTAACTCCATTTACTATTTCATTTTGTTTTAACAAGTAACATTTTTAAACATTTTGCCACCCACTTTACCTGAGGGTTAATTTTATTGAAATTTTGAACTTCACTTTCTTGGTTTTAATCTATCTAGTGACTTGCCTCCTTTTATCATACTTAAAAATCTTACCTAATTTTTAATCTTTTAAAAAAAGTTTCTGTAAAAATTTGTTTAAGACCTCTTTCTAATCTCATCCTTTTCGATTTATAATTGGGTGTAGGGATCTAGAATTCTCATTCACCTTGAGGTTTTCATTTTTTAAAGTTTGCATTATCTTCATATGATAGTATCTAATTTTGGTGTTAGGGATATCCGGTTATAAATGCATTCATTCATTTGCACATGTTATAATCTTGTCTTATCTTTCATTACTTTTTTTTATTACTGTTTTAGCCTTTTCTCTCATTTTAAATTTCATCAAAAGACTTCCCTTATTTAACTTGAAGCCCATGTGTATACATGCATGTAGCACCTACACTAGAGATACGTTTGTGTGGACATTTACTAGAAATATATGTGCATATATGCTAGATACACGTGTGCATATACGCTAGAGAGATGTGTGTGTGCGCATACATCTGTGTACATGTGTGTTCACTTGGAGCCTATGGTACTCTCAGCTCCTGAGGCTTTCCTACCTTCTAATTCCCAGGAGTTCTTTCCCTTGCTCCTCCTCCACTGGCTCTTCCTAGTCTCCCCAGCCTGGGCTTTGGTCCCTCTCAGGTAGCTTCCCCAGGCAGATAGCCCCTCTGATTTGCCAGGAAGTTTCTAGTCAGCACCCACCCCATTCTAGTGGCGCTGGGACCTCCTGGGGTTGTCTGAGGTGGTGGGGTTGACCCAGACATGGAAATAAGGTCCTGCACAGTCTCCAGGGGCCTCTTTCTCTGCAGGGCCCTGGCCCCTTCTCAAGTTCCTCCCACTGAATAGACCTAGAAGGAGTTAGGGTTGGTGAGGGGTTATGGGGGTGGCCAGATGAGTGTGTGGTCGAGCAGGCTGTGGCTCAGACCTCAGGTTGCCCAAGCGAAGGCCAGGTCGACTGGAAATCAGGAACTATGATGCCAGAGGCTCTAAGAGGCCTCAGGGTGGGACCAGGCCCCCAGGAAGCCCTGGACTCCCCCAGCATTCCCTCCAAGGCACTCATCAGCACTGTAGGATGGACAGCCCCCACAGAAGGCATGGGGAGCCTGACTCAGGGACCCCTTTATCTTGAAAGCTTCACGGGGAGCTTCTGGCAGCTTCCAGAACACCTCTGGTCACATTTCACCAGCAGACCAGAGCTCAGAGTGTCAGCCACCTCACAGGAATAAGTCTTGCCAGGAGACTCTGGCAGAACAGACACACGAGCTGCAGTCACGTCAGCCCCAGGAAGGCTCACTGGACACAGGTCCCAACCTCCTTGGGGCAAGCAGCTCCAAGGATGGGAGGATGGCATGCCAGGGTGTATCATTTGTACCTTGGGTCCGGGGGCACCTGCTTCACCCTGTGGGGGAAAGAGTAGGATTACAACAATGATACCCATGACTTGGTGGAGAGGGAGGGGCGCACCAGGTGAGAGGGGTACAGTGGCGGGGGGAGGAGGGAGGGAGCACACAGCAGGAGAGGGGAGGGGTACACAGCCATCTCTGGCCTCATCCCTACCCCAGCTTGAATTCTGTCATCAGTGCTGACTGAATAGTTTCTGGGCTTGTTCCTGCCATCACCTCCTTGCTAGTGGGGTAGACACTGGCCAGAAGGGGAGCCAAGACCTGTCCTGAGGCCACACGGGGCCTGTGGCCTCGACCCAGTGAGCATGAAGGCCTCCTGCCTGGTGCAAGGGCCCTTAGCTCAACTGTCAAACGAAACAACAGGCTCTGAGCACGGAGCTTCATTTAAAACAAGTGTCCTTGCCCAACCCAAAACAAGACAGCCCCATTCATGGCTCACTGACACCTCTTGTGGAAGTGTGTATTCCAGATGTTCGGACTTGGTGCCTCCCACTGGGTCATCACAGAAGCACCTGGGAACCTGGGACACTTGTATCAGTCAGAGGTTTGGGCAGTCTCTTTTTTTTAATTTTAAATTTTTACTTTTTGTAGAGATGGGGTCCCACAATGTTGACTATGTTGTCCAGTCTGGTCTTGAACTCCTGGCCTCAAGCAATCCTTCAGCTTTGGCCTCCCAAAGTGCTGGGATTACAGTTGTAAGCCACCTCATCCAGCTCATTATGCAGCCTCATGAAAGTTTTCCCACTACTGAGGTTACCAAAACTGAAGCTTGAAATATGACTCTCAGTTCAAAACGAGTGTGTCAATATTCCTAAAAACCATTAGTTCAATTGCCTGCACAGAGCCCTGAATTTCTACCCAAGCCAAGCCCTGCAAGCGCAGGTCTAAGTGGCCACCAGAGCCCAAAACCCGGGCTGTGGGGTGTGATGAGGGGTCACTCCTGGCCTTTCCCCTCCATGGAGATCACCAGGCGGCCCCCAGATGCCCAGGCCTCATCCACACTGGCCACATGGCATGGCGCTGGGCCCGTCACACTGGACCTGTAGGAAGACACTTACGAGGCTGCCTTTCTGCCCAGTCCTTCCGGGGGGCCCCTCTCTTCCTGGAGGACCAGGGGGTCCCTGGGAGAGAGAAACAGAGCAAGTCTGGATGGAATCTCATCATTAAAAAGGTTTCTGGGTTGGCAGGTGGTCACTGGGGCTCCCACTGAGTTTCAAGGCAGGTGGTCTATCCTGTGACTCTGGACACCACAGGGCTATAGCCACACTGGGAGGATGAGAAGGGCAGGGCTGGCCACCACCATGCTGCCCTAGGGAGAGCCACTAACCCTCTGACAGACTGTCTGGCAGCATAGGTAAATGTGAATGAGTCATGTGCTTTAACCTGAGACTGTCCCTTGGAATGGGTCCTGGGGAGTGCTCACCATGGGCACCAGGTGGTTGTGGGTGGGTGTGGAAGCCGTCAGTGTGGGGCTGACAGCGGGGCTGGTTGGCTAAGCTATGGGTAGTCACCCACACAGGGAGCTGTGCCTGAATCACAGGGCCATGGTATAACCTAGTGAAAACACAGGCCACAGAAAGCTGGTATCGTGGGACTTCGTCACACCAGCAGCAGCCCCAGCACCTACTGGAATGTGTCTGCCCAGAGCTGGCAAAAATCGGCCCACAGGACCCTAGGACTCCATGAGCAGAGTCAGCAGGGTGTGAGATCCTCCAGCCAGTTACCCAGTAGCGGACCTGGGACAGGACCTTGGCCCTCCCACGGGAGTCACCATGGAGACGTCCTCTGTGCAGTCAGCAGACCCATGAAGCCAGAGCAGCAGCAGCCTTGCTGTGGTCACATTGGCACCCTCGCCCATGGGGTGCACCAGGAGACAGACGCTGTCTGCTGCCCCTTGGGGATTTGGGTGAGCTGTGAATGACTAAGAAGTCCAGGGCAGGAGGGAAGACCCCATGCCTGGCGTTCCCCCCACTCCCAGTAGACAGGGCCCCAGCTTGATGGTAGGAAGCAAGACTCACCGGGGGGCCAGGAAACCCAGGGGCTCCATCCCGCCCGGGCACACCAGGAAGCCCTGCGGGTCCTGGGATGTCAGAGCTGTTCACCCCGAAGCGGCCAGGCTCGCCCGGCAGACCTGGGACACCAGGGGGTCCGGGGGGGCCGGGGAAGCCTCGAGGGCCCTGGATGGGGGCAAACAGACAGTGTGGTTCACACAGCACTGTGGGTGAGGACCCCACCACTGACAGGCCTGCTCTCACCCACATGGCACCCCCTGAATCTCACAGGGGCCACGACCCATCTCTCAGAGACTTTGGGCAGCAGCCACTGACCGAGGGCCACTCACCCGCAGTGTCTCCAGGTCACCACCAAAGCCAGAGCCCTCCATGTCAATGAAGGTCTACGGGAGAGACACAGAGGGACCGATTACCTGGCACCATCAGGAGGTGGGTCCCAGGCTGGAGGAAGGTGGGTCCCAGGGTGAGGAAGGCCACAGGCCGGACTCACCAGCTTGTCATGTCTGAAGGAGGGTCCTGGGGGCCCTGGAGGCCCTTGAGGTCCTGGGGGTCCTCTTGCCCCGACCCCAGGATCTCCCTGGGGACACAAGATCATCCTGTCATACTCGGGCACAGAGCCCCCACCTTGGGTCAGGGCCCAAGACAGGAAGGGTACTGCCTCTGCCAGCGAAGACTCACCTTCTCACCCTTGGGGCCAATGTCTCCCGGGGTCCCCGGGAAGCCCTGTGGCCCAGTGTCACCCTGGAAGACAACAACAGGAACTTGGTCAGAGAGGAGCAGGCCTGCCTGTCACCCTCTCAACTGCCAACAACCCTTGGTTCTGCACCCTTCAAGAGAGTCCACAGAAGCACTAGGCCCCAAAGCTGACACCACCACTGCAGAGGCCCCATGGCTCTTATGGTAACACCTCTCATGCAGTAACGGAGTGGATGGGGTTTCCTCACTGACGTCCTCAACAAACAATGGGTGTTGGGGCTGTTACATATATGTATGTGTGTGCCTGTATTATAAGAATGGGCATATGTGTCAAGTGTTTTTGTTTTGCTGTGTGTGCATGCATGTGGTGGGTGCATGTTAGGTGTATATGTACTTGTATGTTGTGCATTGTCTGTGTGGTGTGTATGATATATGTTGAATGTGTGTTGTGGTATGTGTGAGGTGAGGTGTGTGTATGTATGTGTGCATGTAGTATATGCACACATGTTTTTGCATGGTGTGTGTATGATATGTTTTGAAGGTGTGTGGTATATGGCATGTATGTGCATGGTGTAGAGTGCATGTGTGCATGGTGTGTATGGTGTGTCTGTAGGAATGTGCATGTTGACTGTGTCCGTGTGTAGTATGTGATGTGTGCATATGTGTGTGTGTGATATGTGGTGGGCACTGTAGACAGAGTGCCTATATGTTTACTCCTTGGGTAAGTGGGTGAGGGACACCCCTGATGGTCAGTGTTTTTGAATGTCCACGTGAGCTTGACAAAGTCAGGCAGGGTTTAACAGCTGGGAAAATCTAACATGGCCTGTTAGAGCAAGTCTGTTGCCTGAGACATACATACATGCACACATACATGCACATGCACATGTGTGCTCTACCCATGCAGGCGAACCTGTGCAGGCTCCCAAATGCCTGGTTAATGTGTCATGGCCCTCAACATGCAGTTCTGTTGTCAGGTGCAGGATGTCATGAGTGTTGGTTGTGGTCAGCATGAAACACCCTTTCCAACTGTTTCTAACACAACTCCACTGCATCTAAGGATAGTGACGTGACCCCTACTTTCTGTATCCATCATGTAAAAGCTGCCTCCCAAATCTTTATTTGCAATTTTCTTGTGTTATTTTATTGTGTTTCTTGGAAATCATGTTGATTTAAAAAATCTGAATGTTGGGCATTTCCTGTAGCTGGGGACAGCCGCTGCCTTCTCCCCTGCAAGCAATTTCTCTGGGTTACTGCTGTCAGCCCCAGCATCTCCATGCAAACGCATCACTGTTCACTTTCCTACCAGCAGTTAAACTTATCTGTTCTTAACAAAAGTTAAGTTGCATTTCCAAGTGGTTTCCTTGTGAAATTCCTCTCCATGTCAAGTTTATGTGTCACGGGGGGAAAGCCCGAGGGTCTCATGCAAGCACCACAGACAACATCAGCTCAGAGAGAAAGGCATACTTACGGGTTTTCCATCCTCGCCAGCGTCCCCCTGGAAAGTACAAGGGAGGCTGTGAGTGCTGGGCAGTCACTCCTGTCCCCGAGAATCTACTTGAGGATAAGCACCCTCCACTTAGAGCCCCACTAGGGGGCGCACACGCCTCTCCAGACATGAAGTCGGAGTCTCCATCAAATCTGCAGGGCTGCATCTGAGCCTCCATCTCCTCCTGGCACCAATCCAAAGTATTGGCTGGTCCTGGAGTTTCCAGGGTCCCAAGGACATCGCTGCCCTGCTGATCCTGGCCTCTTGCACATCACCACACCCTCTCCCTTTCACCAGAGCCCCCTACCTCCAGCCAGGACCAGACAGACAGGCAACTGGGACTCACCGGCTTGCCGTCTCTTCCTGGGGCACCGTCCTTCCCTGGCAATCCCGGGGGTCCCTGTGGCCCAGGGACAGGTTGTGCATTTGGACCTGAGGGGCCCTGGGGACTGATGGGGCCTTCTGGACCCCAGGGACTGAATGGGCACGGGAGTCCTGGGGGACCAATGGAGCATGGAGGGCCCGGGGGACCAGTGCGGCCAGGCAAGCCCGGAATACCCGGCTCTCCCTTCTGCCCCTTCAGGCCTCCCTAGGAACAAAGAAAACACAGGTCACAGGCTGAAGCAGAGCCATACACACTGTCCGTGTGCCCCAGCTGCACACTCCCAAGCCCCCAGCTGATCTCTGCATCCCACAGTAGACAGGCAGGGTGGACGTGCAGGGTGGGTGGATGCACAGTGGTGGGGATGAGGGCACAAAGGAAGGAGGCATGGCTGGGCAGGCTTCCTGAGGTCACTATTGCTCTAGGGTCTCTGTGGCCCAGGGTCATGGAGGGGTGGCCTCACCTCTTTCAGGCTGTTCCCAGGGCTCCGGACACTCCCATCCCTCATGGAATCAGAGCCAGGAAGGGTTTGAGCTGGGAAGGGGCAGAAGGCCTCTGTTAGTCCCTGGCAGTGGTCCAGGCTCTGCCCCAGTGGCCCCCAGTGTGCACAGACCCAGAGCCTGCTGGACTGGGGAGAGTCCAGACCTCAGGCCGCTCCTAGGCATACACTTCTGCTGGCACCCTGAGAGCTGGTGGGAGGGACTCCGAAGCCAGTGCATGTGAGATGGGAGAGAATTTAAAACCAACAGTGAAACCAGTGGCTGTTCCAAGCCGACGATGGCTGAAGCCTCCTGGAAGATGCTTCCTGGATTCGGATTCATTACGGAAGGAGACTCTGCCCACCAAAAATGCCTTCTTATCACGCATCTTTCTTCCTGTTCCTTTCCCCCCTATCGATTTTTAATTTAAAGAAATTAAGAACCAACAGAAATCCTTCAAGGGAAGCACAGTGAACACCCAGAGCCAGCACTCAGATCCGCCATCTGCCTCAGCACAATTTACTCCCTTCTCCCTCTCCTTTCTCTCCTACCATTCTCTCTCTCCCTATCCCCGCTCCCTCTCTTCCTCTCCCTTTCTCCCTCTTTCTCTCTCCCCCTTTTCTTGTTCTCCCTCCCTCTCTCAAGCCTTCCTCTCCTGAAGCCTGAGGCATCCCCTAAGAAAATATCCCCTTACAAACCAAAGGTCACATTCAGGAAAATCAACATTTCTACACAAATGATCTAACACACAGCCTAAGAACACTGGTGGCGGGCAGCCACCTTCGACCCCAGCCCCTGCGCCTGGGCGCACTTAGCCCAGTGGGTGAGCTGGGTTGGACTAGTCCTCTTCACCCAGGCTGGGTGGGCCCAGAACTGGGCAGCACATGGCACCAGACCCCATGCACCTGTGGGTCCCACTGAGTACCACGGCACAGCCACCAGGGGGCAGCCCAGTCACGTGCCCAGGGATGCCTGGGGTAGAGCTCTGAGTCCCCACGTAAGTAAGTGTTAGCTAGAACAAATCCCAAATCCCTGCCTCAGGGAGCATTTAAAATAGCAAAAACACTGTTCAAAGAAATCAAAGAAGACCTCACTAAGGAGAGATACAGCGTGAGCCTGGGTCTGAAGACAATATTATTAAGATATCAGTGCCCGAGAAACTGATTTACAGATTGAACAACACTCCAATCAAACTCCAGCAAGCATCTTTTCCTTTTTTGTTGTAGAAGTTGAAAACCTGATTCCAACATTTACATGAAAATGCAAAGATCCTACAATTCTAAAGCAATGATAGAACAAAGTCAGATAACTAACACTGCCTGATTTCAGACTCATAAAGCCACAGTATTTAAGATGGATAGACATGGCTGTCAGGACAGAAAATTTTAGATTCACGGAACAGAATGGAGTCCAGAAGTAGGCTCATCTAGGTATGGACAACCGAACTTTGACCAGAGCATCCCATGAGGGGCTGTCCTGGTGCCCCACACCAAAGCCCATGGCCTACCCAGGGAGCCCCAGGCAAAGGCCGGCTTTGCTTCAACTCTACCTCCTCCAAATCCTGAGCGGTCTGCAGTCCTACATCGGGGAGTAAGTAGCCTCTCACTGTCACTGATCTGGGAGGTACCCACAGATTCCTGCCATAAGCAACAGGGAGCCTAGGGTGCTGCCTGGGAGGAGAAGGAGCCATCAGGCAGAGGCCGCTGTACCCCACTTCCCTTGGGGCTCAACTAGAGATGGTTATGTGGAGGACCTCACCTGCAAACAGCGAGGGGAGGTAGGTGCTAGGCTCCTACCAGTGTGTTTGCTGTGGACAGGTGGCCCCTCACCCATCACACACACACACACACACACACACACCATACACATCACATACATGCACACAAACCACACACCTCACACATACACCAAACCACACACTTTACCCACGCATGTACACACACATAACACACACCACATGCAGAAAAGAGTATTACCTCCTAACGTAGCCACTGTGGTTTCTTCCTCAATTTCATCCATCCTAGAATCTTCTGTGCTGCCGTCTCCAGCCAAGGGTGGAGAAGTGACAGGGGGAGGCTTGGGGAGGCTGGGTTTTAGGGATGCGCTCTGTGGGACAGAGTGGGAAAATGCACTGGGTTATTCAGCACACACAATGTCCTGTGAGTGCATGCCACAAATTCATCAGGCCAGTGTTTACTCAGCGTATAAAATAAAGAAGTTGTAAATTCTAAGAAAGATAAGGAAAACCATGATCTTAAATAGGAAGAAGTTCCAGGGCCCCTGAGCTGCTTGTAAGTCTCCTCCTAGCAACTGTGGGTATGGCCAGGCACAGTTCCGTGTCCTGCTTCCTGGCCCAACATCTCCCAAGAGGGGATGTTTCCCTCCCATGACCACACTACCATGGGATGACTGTGGAGGGTCCTGATGGGGGACCCCACACCGTGTCCATGACTACAGCCTCTGCATTGGTTCTCCCTGGACCATGATGCTGTCCTGAGCATTCACCATCCCTGTTCCCAGCACTCCACAGTGCCAAGGGCGCAAACTACACAGAGGCTTTGCTGTGCAGGCAGGAAGCCCCTGCCTGGCTCCACATGTGGCCTGTGCTCCCCAGAGCCATTCTATATTGGTGATGAGGCTGGTTCAGGTGGACAGACAGCAGTGGTCACTACTGTTGGGCAGTGCTGTGTGGCTTGCCCAAAGGCTCCCTGCCGTCCAGTGGCAGGGGGTGGGAAGCTGTGGGAGGGCAGCAATTGGAGCTAGACACCGGGCCTTGTCTCCTTGGCCAAACCCTGCTAACATGAGAAGGTCTGAGAGGCCCTGCACCAAGGCCAGCCAAGCCATGCAGACATCTCAGGCCAGGTGGGCATGAAAAACAGGTCCACAGCCTGCATCACCCAAGGAAGATGAGTCTCACAATCCCTTCCATGCTGTCTACCCTCTGGTGGATTTTCTAGAGTGCCCTCAGGTCAGGGCCCAGAGCCCCCGTTGGAACACAGCAGCTTCTGGGGGGAGGGTGGGAACACAGGGGTAGGCCCCATCTGATCATTGACAACCTGAGCCTCCTGGGGGTTGGGTGGGGGCCATTTCAGTCTCATGGGCACAGCTCTGATATTCATGGGTGTCTTCGTTCCTGATGCATGAGATGCCCACCCTGGGCCCATGGGAGTTCCCACACCAACCCACATCTGTGAGGAGGGCTGGCAGCTGACCAGGCACACAGAGGCCATGGGGTCCGGCAGGGGTTCCAAGAGCTGCCAGGTCTGGGCAGTGCAGAGGTCAGGGAAACCCCAGTGCCCCTCTTGGGGACAGGTAGGCAGGCGCTGCCATCCACCTTGGGCAGCCTAAGCCCTGGGGCGAGACTCTCCAGGAAGATAGGAAATGCCCCTCCCCCAAATGCTGGGAGGTGGAGTGGCCCACAAGGTTTATCCAAACTGGAAGAGCCACAATCCCTGTCATCCCACCAGGACCTCTCCTCCCCCTTCTGTGTTTTTTCAGGTGGTCAGAGCTGGGAAAAGGTCATGACTCCGGCCACCCAGAAGCCCTTCCTCACCATGACCCCCTGCACAGCCTTTTCCCCCTGGGCCAGATTCACAAATCAATTCATCCCTTATGGTCTCCCACACACTGGAGGGGGTGGGGCAAAGACAATGAAGGTCACTCCAAGGACAAGGACTGTGTAGGGTCAGGAGCCCCACCCCAATGTAAAGAATGCCCTCCCACCAGAGTTACAAGGCAGCCCAGACACAGCTGTGAGAGGAATGCCTGTCCTTGGGTGCAGGGCCTGTCTGGATTGTCCCAGTGTCCCTGTTTCCAGGCAAGAGTTTGTCTTCAAGCTACAGAGGGAGCCCTTGAAGTTACACATGTGCATACCCATTTCTGGGATGGGAACCTGGTCAGAGGGAGGCCCCATCACTGGACCCAGGAGGGCAGGTTGGCCCTCGTAGCTACTCACCGTCTCCTCCCTGAGAAGCTCTCGGGTCCCCTCCAGCCCGCTGCCAAAGTCTCCAGAAGCCTGGGGTTAAGGGAGGAGGAGGAGGATGGTGACTGAGACCCCAGCCCCAGCAGACCTGGAGAGCACATGAGGCAGGCTAGCCTCACCCCAACTGGTGCAACCCAGCGCCTGCCTCCTCTAAGGAAGAAGGTGGGGTAGGAGTATAGGGTTGCTGGGGAAGGCACACTGGCCTCTGCCTGGGCACCAGCCTGGTCCTCTGCAGGTCACATCCAGTCATCAACCAGAAAGACCCTTCGGAAGTCAACTGGCTGTGAGCCAGGCACACAGAACCACAGAGAACATGTTCCTCTCCCTCGACCTGACTGTCCTGTTCTGGACACTGTCCTGGGAAGAGAGGCTGGGCAGATGGATGTCCACAGCATACCATTCAACGTGCAGGCCCTGCCTGGGCTGTTCAGGGAACAGCAAGGAGAGCTGGTGGCCCCAGGCAGAAGCATACTTCAGGAAGTGGGCTCGACCTGTGGCTGTACCCTGTGACATCCTCCATTCATGGCTGCACATCTGGACTACACTGGGGAGGTGGGCAGGGACTGTCTGTCTCTCTCTCTGACACTGTGTTCAACTCCACAGAACTCACAGGAGAAACACCCAGGCCCATGAGGCGGGCAGGTGGGCGGGAGGGGTGTGTATGTGCGGGAAGGGTGTGTATGTGCGCAAGTACACACTACCACAGAGACACACACCACACACCACAGACCCCCACACACATTTGCTATGGTCTGTGTGGTGTGTGTGTTTTGTGTGTGTATGTGTGCATGTGATGTGTGTGCACGGCGAGTATGTATATGTGGCATGTGTGTCTTTGCATGTGTGTGTGCATGTGTGGGGTATATGTGTGGTGTGTATCTATGTGTGTGCATGTGGTATGCGTGTGTGGAGCACATATTGGTGTAGTATATGTCTCTGTGTATGTGTGTGTGTGTTGGCATGTGGAATGTGTGTGGGATGCATGTCTATGTAGTATGTATCTCTGTGTGTGTGTGTGTGTCCATGTGTTGTGTGCACGGCATATATCTGTCTTTGTGGTGTGTGTGTCTTTGTGTGTGTGCATGCATGTGGTGTGTGTGTGTGTGTGTGTGTGTGTGTGTGTGTGTGCGTGCTGCGGACACTCCATGACCCCTGGCACCTGGTGTCCCATGACCCACACATACTGGAAGCAACACCAGGGAGCAGCAGTGTTGTGGCCCTGGGTAAAAGCCCATCTATCCTGGGATTTATCTCACATAAAAGCAGATTTATCAGGCAAATATGGAAAAAACATGCAGATGTAACATGGATGTACACAACCAGTTAGTCTCTGCCTGCCGGGCCTTGGTGACAGCAGTGGTAAGAAAGGTGGATATCCCCTCAGAGCACTTTGTGACCTTGAGTCCCCTTCTGGAATGTGAATTTCCTCTTGTCCACACCTTCTAGGAACCAGTGGTAGATGCTCTTCCATAAGTACCACATGACTGTATGCACACACACACACCACAGAGACACACACCACACACAACAGACCCACACACACATTTGCTATGGTGACCTTTCTCCCCGTATCTCCTGGCTGGCTATTGTGGGTGGTTTCTGATACCCGCCTCATGTTCTGTGTTTGCTATCTGATGGAAAGTTTAGGGCTAGGGAAGACTCCGTCTGCTGTCATAGGAGCACACAGAAATGTGACCATGGGTTCCTGGCATCATATTACTCTGGGGTCCCTGGGCCCTGCCTCCCAGGGGTAGGGAGCCCCCACTGGAACCCAGGCTACCACTCACCTCATCCAAGTCATCGTCCTCCTCCTCCAGGCAGTGCAGGGGGCTCACCTGGGCGTCCCTGCGCACCCTCAGCTCTGCAATCATCCCCTAAACACAAAGAGAGAGGGGTCACCAGCATTTCTGAGCAGGCGCCCAGGAGGTTGGGGTATCACAAAGAAGGAAGGGTTCTCAGGCTGCTGCCTTCCCATCCAAGTGCCCTTATGGTAGGCAGGGACAGTGGTGACACCAGCAACGGTGGGTGCCCCGGGAGCTGCAGTGTAGAATGCATCTGGCTCGGCCACCAAGTACATGGGGCGGGCAGAGCGGTGAGGCTGTTTCTATGGATATACCCAAGTGCTCCTGAGTAGAATCCTGGAGGGAAGGCCGGGCCTTGGGGACCCCTGCAGCCCCTACAAACACTGTGACTTTGTCAGGTTTCCCAACACAATTTCCAGCCAGGCTAAGGCCCCTCTCAGTGGTGAGGCTTTCTTTTGCAAATGTGTGTAGCAGGACTGAATTCACAGCACCCTCAAGGGCTGACACCAAATGAGACCCCCTCCAAGTCACCAGAAGAAACAGCATCCACTGGGATTTAGGGGACCAAAGGCAGGAACCACCAGTGAGAGCATCGAGGCCGGTCCTCATGGGCCCAGCTCTGTGGGGCTTTTCTCTCCTCAGCTTCGCCTGGGTGGTCCCAACACCAGAGTCCTTCATACTGTGGTGGCAGGGAGGTGCACTAATTCTCAACCTGCTGCAGGATAGGCAGAAGTTCCAAAGGGTTCTGGGGTGCAGCCAGGCGAGGCCCAGCATAGGCCTGGTGACACCCCAGGGGAAGCTTCAGACAGTGGCTGAACCACAGGGTGAACCAGGGAGGCACGGCCAGTGTCCACCATGGGCCATCCCCGGGCTGTGGGTGGTTGCACCCCCAGAAGGAGGTAGTGTTTGAGGACCACAGAAGCAACAAGGGACACCATCTCCCGAGTGCTGCCTTCTGTGGCTGAGATGTGTCAGGATGCCCACCAAGGCCCAAGATCAGTCCCTCTTACTTCAACCAAACCAGCACAGACAAACCACCTTCTTGTGGCATCCCCAAGGTCCTTCTCTCTGGCCTCAGCCCCTTCATGCCTCCCCCTGCCACCATCCCCCCAGAGCAGAATGCCACTGCCTTCTTTGGCTGTGGTCTTGGTCCTTCCCCAAGGTGTCCTCAGCATGCGAGGGGTCAGGGATGGGTTCCCTGTAAAGCCCAAGGCCAGCGGGCCCTGGCTTGTTCTTGCAGTCACTGATTTTGATGTGCCAGCTACTGGGGAACCCAGTTGGAGTTCAGGGCAGGAAAGGGCTGCCTCTAGGGGGAGAGTTAGGGGCAGCCCCCACCCTGAGGGCCTGTGGGATCCAGTTATCACTTGTCCAGCCAGCAATGGGGTCCCTGAGCCCTGGAGGGTGTGTGAGTGATGAGTGTGTGTGTGAGAGAGCACACGTGTGCTTGGGCATGTGTATGTAAGCACAGGATCATGTGTGTGCATGTATATGTGAGTGCATGCATGTGGGGGGTGCAGACAAGGGACATGGAACCCAGGGACTCCCCAGGTGCACACAGGATCCCTCGTGCCATCCAGGCCACAGAAAGTACAAGTGATTCTTAGCTTAAAGATGCAGGAGGAGGGGCATTTCCTATGGCCAGTCTCAGGTCAGGTCGGGGAGGGGCCAGCACCACAGCAGCATCTCTTGACCTACCCAAACCAGCTGCAGGCAGGCACAGTGCTCAGTAGGGGTGACTGAGTCACCAGGCTTGAGAGCCTCCAGGTTGGGGCAAGAGCCACAGACCTGCTGCAAGTATTTCAGGGAATTGGAACCAAAAGTGATGGAATTGGAGCCACCCAGAGCTCAGGGATCACACAGCATGCTGCTGATAAGGATCGAGTAGGATGTCCACACTGCCCTGCTAGCTGTGGAGCTGGAATGACCAGAGTCTCAGGCCATGAGAGCCAGTTGCCAAAACCTTGGCATGGGGCTGACTTGCAGTAAGGGTCCGGGATTCCCCTGTGGTCTCTAAGGGCAGCTCTTGGTTCCATCTTTCTCCCCAGCCTAGATGATGGAGGGGAATGAGCCTCCTGGGGGTGGGGGAGGGAATACAACCCCTAGGCCCAGCCTCTGCACCTCCTCCACTGCCACTGACCTGCCCAGAGCCTCCTGTGTGGTGGGCTTGGCCCCAGCTGCACCACTGCCCTGTTTTCTCACATGTCCTGTCCTGTGAGGTGTGGTCTTACCCCCTTACTCCATCAGCCCATCCTGGCATGGCTCGTGGTGGTCTCCTCTCATGTGTCATGCCCAAACGTGTCATTTTGTGCTGCATGGCCCTGCACCCCCTACTCCTTCAGCCTGTCCCATCATGGCTATGGCCAGCATCTGGCTCATCCTAGTCTCCTCTCGTGTTTCATGCCCAAGGATGTCATTTTTTCATTGACAACAGCCCCTTTCTCCACTGGATTAGGTCAGAATGTCATTAACGCTGTGGCATCAGACTAGAAGTGGGTTTGAGGTGCTTGCTGTACAAGTGCATGCTGGGTGAGCCGGTGGGAGTGGCCACCAAGGGCATCCATGCCTGAGCATGGTCCAGTTCCCAGCACATTCCTGTCTCAGACCAGGGGTGATGGAATTTTGGGGCACTGATCTGAATTAACAGAGGGCTGGAGTCTAACAAGAGCCACAAGAAACCCCAGGTGGAAGGGAGGGGGCTGCGTGATGGGGAGCACCAACCAGGGAGGATAAGATGGGGCACCCCAACATGAGGAATAGGCCAAGAAGCACCAAGCACAAGCACTGGAAATGACAAAGGTTGTGTGCTCTGAAGCTGAGCTGGAGAGATGCTCACGGAAACCATTGTCATAACCAGATGGAGGAATGGCCTCCCAGGAGACAACCATGACCACATTCAACTCAAGAAGAATGACCCTGAAAAGACCAATGAGGTCCAAGAACTTTTTTGCAGGGAAGGCAGATGCTCTGGAAGGTTTTGTCTGGACCTGGCGTGGAGCCGAGGTCAGGGTCTGGGAGCAGTTGGGCTCTCTTGCTAAGCGTCAGGGAGGCAGCGCAGCCTAAGCAGCCTTGTGAGAGGTTGCAGGAGCCCTCAGCTCCCTCCCAGCATCCAAAGCTCAGTGCTTGTTTCTGCCAAAACTGATGAGTCACACAATTTGAATGTTTCTTTCCCAAGAATCTCAATTAAGAAGCCTGGAAAAATCTTGTGTTGAACAATCCTGTCTCCTATTTTACCACACAGGCACGCTTCTCCTCCCTCCATCTGGAATCCAATCTAAAACCCACAGAGAAAGTTTCTGACACCTCTACTCTTCAGGGACATGGTAAATCAGACTGCTGAGACAGACTGGACATAGCTTGCAGTATGCTGCCCAGGACAGGTGAGGTCCAGCCCAGAACCAGGCGCTCTGGCTGCCCTTCACTCCCAGCTCTCTGACCTTCAGACACCTGGCTGGGACATCATAAATCATGGTGTCTTCTCTGGGCCAGATCTAGGCACACAGGTGAATTAAACATCCCAATGGTTTAGAAAATATAAAAAGGCAAAAAGGCAGATGGCATACTGGGAGATAAAATTTACAATATACAAAACCAAGGATCAGTTCCTTTCATATATAAAGAGTTTCTATAAAACAATAAGAAATGGTTGAATCCATTAAAAAAAAACCCCACAAAGAACATTAACAGGTCAGTCACAAAAGATGAAATATAAGTATCCAATAAACAGATGACAAAATAAAAATTAGTCTTCACTTGTGGTCCAGGAAATCAAAATGAAAATACCCAGATTCCATCTGCCTATGTATCCAACTGGTAACTGTGTCTTATACAGATGAGAAGCTACTCTGGCAGGGCCCAGGGAAGAGCCTCTGATTGCAGGGATGGTGGCAACCCTGGTCTCCTCCATTAGCACCACTGGTGCCACCCATGCCTATCAGCATATGGGCAACTTTTCCAATAAAGCATTAAAGGTATATGACACCATGGGATACTTTATTCCATCAAGACCCACCCAGAAATTCACACAGCAAATCACCTCTCACTAGATGGGATGCTTTCTCTGACTTCTTTCCCGTTAATCATGTTTGAGATCAAAAGGAAAACAAAAGAGGCCCAGTTTGGTGTCAAAGTCCTGGCAGCTTTTGAGCCCTAAAGGTTAAAAGTTCCCACCAAAGGTGAAGGGTCGGCTTTCAGAATCCTGAGACACCAGGACTTAGAACAACTTCAAACAAGCAGCCCTTGTCTGGGCAATAATTAACTCCCTGTCCTCTGTGAACCACCAGGGCAGGGGCAGCTGGGGCAGGTCAGCTTGAATGGCAGAATCCGGGTACTCATGAGTCAGCGCCAGCTGTGAGTACCCACGCAGCTGTTTGCAGAAGGCCAGGATTCCAGCTGAAGGCTCCCAGAAGAATGGGGTCTTTGGGCCCAGGGCTCTGCCCACTCCCCTAACCCCATGAAATGAAGGCCCAGCAGAGAGACTTCCTGGGGGGACACGAGCAGAGACAAGTTACATGCCCATCGTCGCCAGGGATGTTCTGCCCATGTGCTCTGAAATGGAGCTACAGGCTTGGTACCTGCCTGCAACAATCAGCACAGCTCAGCTGACCTGTGCCACACAGGGTGTCGGGATGTGCAGTCACCAGACAAGGACCCTGCTGGGTTCAATGCCTTATCGTTGCCGGCTTCAAACTGTTAATCCTTTATCAACAAGGACCCTGAGTTTCCATTTTACATGGGGCCTGTGGGTCCTGCAGCTGGCCCTGGGCTGGGCCCCACTCACCCAATGAACTGGTCAGAGCCCCCAGTGTACCATGGGACACGGCACACACATGAAGGAGGGACTCAGGATCAGGGCAGGGGTGGGTGTTCAGTTACGAGGTCGTCCCAAGTGTCTCTGGGGTCCCAGAGAAACCACCAAAGCTCAGGGTGACCTTTCCAGGAGACTGAGGGACCAGAAAGCCAGAGGAATTACACCACCCCTCCAGGCAGCCCAGAGGGGCCTGAGAGGCCTGTGCTAGAGCCAGGATAACCATCAGCTGGGGCAGCAGGTACTCCTTCCCCTGGGTTGCAGCACCAGTCTGTGGTCCCAGTGGCCACCATCACCCCAACTCTAGACAGCCCACCCACCCAGTGTTGGCACAGGCTTACCTGGAACTTGTCAGGGTCCGCTCCTCCTGCCTGGGCCACAAAGAGACCGGCACCAGGCTCCAGCTCTAGGCTATGTGAGGACCGGACCAGTGGCACTCTCTGGAACTCCTTGCAGTCCACATAGAGTGCTACAGAGCCACCATCCACACTGAGTGCAAAGCGCTTCCACTGGCCGACGAAGGCGGGTAGGCGGAAGCTGGCTGCCGTGTGGGTCTGGCTAGCACCCGCCTCCGTATAAAGCAGGGTGATGTGCTGGTGTCCATCCTGCACCCCAGAGAGCTTCACACCCAGAGAGACCACCACCTGCGCTGCATCTGTGATGGCGAACAGTACCCCTGCACCCTCTGTGGTTGGCCGGACATGGAACAGCAGTGAGAAGTCACGGAAGAAGGGGCTGGGGAAGTGGTACCGGGCCACCTGGCCACTGTTGGCATCTGGTCCGAAGACATAGGCTGACCCCACGTCGCGGTCCTCGATCTGGGTGATGTGCAGGGGTGGTGGCTCCCCAAAGAGCTGCAGAAGCCCCACCTCCTCACCCATGTGCTCTGCAAAAAGAAGGACACTGGTGAGGATATCCAGAAAGGGCACTCGGGGAAACCGAGTCATGGAGGCATGCCCTGCTCCTCAGGACTCTGTCACCCAATGACCACCAATGGCCACCCTGGCTCACCCAGTCCCAAACAGCAGATGTGCTCAATGTACAAATGGTCTGCAGGGAACACATTGGCCACAGGCCCTTGCTTCCCTGCATGAACCCAGTCCAAACAGGGACACCCCAGGGATGGATGCAGCCAGCAAGATGCAGGGGGAGCAGGGCCTGGCCAGCGTCTTGCCAAAGAACGGTGCTGGCTTCAAGGTGCTGGGGCCCAGAGACCCTGCCTGCCTTGGCCCTGCACCCACCCCACCTGGGCTCTGCACTCCTACCTGCCTCAGCTCTGCAACCCACTTGCCTTAGCCCTGAACCCCCCACCCTCCCTAGCTCTGTGTCCCTACTTGCCCTAGCCCTGCACCTCCACCTGCCCCAGCTCTTAACCCCTACCTACTTGGGCCCTTCATTCCTTTCCTGCCCTGAATGTGTACCTGCCCACTCTGGATCTACATCATTACCACCCCACCTGCTCTGGTCTTGCATCCCTGTCTGCCCTCACCCACCTTGGTCTTTTGCCCCCACCTGCCTCCTGACCCTACAGGAGCAACACAGGCAGCCCCCATCCCAGGCATTTACCATAAATATGTCATACCAAAACAAGAAGAAAAAAGGAAACCATAGCCAGGATGTATTATTTAGGCTGGGCACCAGTCGAGATATCTATCTACAACCCCCACAATGTGGGACATGAGCGTGGACGCTGCCTCAAGTGCCCATGCTCCAATGCAGGAGTCTCGTCTTAGGTCTCCCGGGGCTGTTGGGTGCCCACACGGGGTGTGAAGATGCCTCCCCAGCTGCAGCAGACTCCCAGGAGGTGTGGCCTTCCTTAATGCCCTGTGGTCTCCATGCTGGGGCCCCAGACACCCACTGGAGGCGAGGGGGGCAATGGTGGTTGTTCTCCCCTCTGGTGTCCCCATTCCTCTTAAATAACTTATGAATTACCAGGTGTTCACTTCATTCATTAACCTCATTCGTTCCTACTCATGCCAAGTCTAGCATTGCTTCACTGCAGGAACCCATGGATACAGCAAAGCTGGCCAGTCTTTCTCTAGAGGTCATCGGGGTCATGGAGCACACACTCTCACTTTATGGGAGCTCCTCAGCAAGGGGACGTGGCACAGCACCCGGAGTTCTCAAGGGACAGGAACCCACTCAAAAGGGATGTCCACTCATCAGCCACTTCCCACATACCCACCAATGCCAAGCAGTGCCCAGCTTGGGGCTATGGTCTGGTCCAGAAATGCACCCCGAGGCTTTTCTCCCGAGACCCCCCTTGGTCTGGACAGAGCCTGTTTCCTACAAAATGTGATAGTCCCATGAGAACCCCTATGCTATAGGCAGGCTTGTGGTCAGAGCTCTCATGGGAAGGGACTGCTGGCATGTCAGCATCCTGAGAAGAGGGGAGGTGAGCCAGGGTGAGCATATGTAACAGCTCTGGGTGTTACATGGGTCAGACCCTGCTACAGGGGAAGGGCAGAAGGTAAGCAATGCTGAGCCTGGATGTTTTCAAAGAGTGGACACAGAAGAGGCTAGAGCTACTGTCCCAGCACACTGGGTGACCCACCAGACTCGGCACTGCCCCTGCTCCAGGACCCTGACTTCTGGTCATGTAGGTCCCCATGGGCCCACTCAGAGCCAGCCAGGACAGAGCAGACAACCGCCTGCCCAGCCCCTGCTGCACCAAGGCCAAGGGCAGAGGGACCTGGGGGACTCAACATCTGAACCTGAGCCCTGAGAGTCGGCGGTCATGTCTACCCAGATGGTAGCTGTTATGACAACCCTTTCTTATCAGAAGTGCCTAGGTCTCACGTGTCCATGCGGGGGTGTGCTAGGGTCAAGAAACTGGACTCTCTCAGCCCAGGGCCCAAAGGCCCTGGGGTTTAGTCCAGCTGTCCAGAGTACAGAAACCTCCCACAGCCCTTCCTCCCATGCAGCTAGAACATTCCCAAGTTGATTAAGAAAGCAAGATGACACAGCTATCATCTCCTGGCTAGAAGGCACTGGGGACTATACAGTGGCCCCAGGGACCCAGAAACATGCAAGCCCTTCATAAAGCTCTCCAATTTTCTTCCATGAAATTCCTGGTGGTTCCTGTCAGGGTGAACTTCCGCATGCTCAGCCCTGAGGTCACAAGCTCCGTTCTCCAGTTCCAGGCATGTGAGTGAGGTTAGTGTGATCCCCACACCCCGAGGCACCAGTCCAGTTGTACTGGATGGAGGCCAATCTCTCTTCAAAATGCAGATGCCTGAGGGATGGAGAGTCCAGAGGTATGCCTTCCTGGGCCCAGCAGGGTGGCCCCTCATGTGGCTCACCTCGCCTTGGATGGAGAAGTTGGGGTATTTGCCCGGGTCAAGACCATCTCCCCTTCAGGAAATAGGCCGGCCAGAAGTACTGATGGTTCTGGAAGTCAGTGTGTGTTAATGTGAGACCCCTTTAAATGCTCCAAGACCACTGCCCAGCCAGCCTCACCCCAGCAGGTGAGGAGACACCAGCCTGTCTGTCAGAAAGGCCTCAGATATTTTCGCTCTCACAAAGTACACCAAGTCCCCCATCTCCTCGAGTTCATGGAGTCAGGAAATCCTGCTGTGGGCTGCCCGTTTCTGCCATCTTCTGGAAGCATGAACTTCACACCCACCCTCACCCTGACACGGCCTGGATGGGGGCACTGAAAGTGGGACTATGCTGCCTCCTGGGAGTCCCACCCCAGCGAAGTCTGAACTTCCGTGGAAATCACCATGTTGTGGAGACTGTCACCTAGAGGGATGGCTTAGCTCTGGATGCTGGTTGAGGGGAGCTCTGAGCACTGGGCTGGAGGGTCCTGGCTTCCCACCAAAGAGGTTGGAGCCACTGCCCCACCTGGGCCTGCCTGATTCTGCCTGAACATCTGGCTTCCAACCCAGAGTAGTGTCAACTACAGGGAGACCATCTCAAACTGAGCAAGCATGAGGGTGGCACCTGAGTACCCTGCAGCCCTCATGGTCATGGAGACCCTGAGAGATGGGCAAGCCCCATAGACATCATGTACTCCACAGATGCCTGCACCAAGCACCCGGGTGCCGCCAGCTGCTCCCCAGAACCAGCCTGCCCCCATGGCTCCCTTGGGCATGTGGTCCTGAGTCTCGGCCGCCCAGAAGCCATGCTGTTTCTACCCACATGGCTTTGAGGGGCTCCAAGGCTGCCTTGCTGGCCCCTTAAGTGGCTCACTACCCTCCTCCCACCCTGCAGAGTAAGGGTTCCCAAGGCCAGATCTAAAGAGCTGAGACCAGCTGGGTGAGGTTTAAGTCAATCAATCTACTTCCAGTTCAGCGTACAGGGCAGACGAGCCTCTAGGGTTCCAGGTTAGGACCCAACTAGAAATCAAAGAGAAGTGGCTCCTACACAGACCACCTGCCTCAGGCCAACAGGAGCCATGGAACCTGCCCCGTCCAGCTCCATGAGACCTGCTCAGACAGTCTCTCTCTTTCTCTCTCTCTCTCTCTCTCTCTCTCTCTCTCTCTCTCTCTCTCTCTCACACACACACACACACACACACACACACACACACAAACACACACGCACAGTGGCTCTGTAGGTGGAGGCCACAGACAAGAGGCAACACCCCAGTGCTGGACTCACCTTCAGTACTCAATGGCGGTCCAGGGCAGGCCTGCAGAGCCCAGGACCTAGAAGCACCCACACCACCACAGGCTGAGACCTTGGCACAGCTCATGGAGGCTGCACTGTAACCCCCACGTTAAGCGCCCGTGCAGAATTCTCAGTGCCCATAACTACTGCCTGGTTCAGGTCCAGTTCCTGGGACCCTCTTAAGACATACACACACTCAGGGCCTTTATTGAATTGAGATGCCATAACCAATCCAGAATAGGTGGGAAGAGGACAAAGGCCACAAGCAGTCATGATCAGTTAAAACTGTGGAGTAGAGAGTGGGATGGGCTCAAGGGTGCTGGCAGTCACATTGCCAGGGATGTGTGTGGAGGAGGACATGCAGGCCTCTTACAGAGACCACAGAGTGAACAGTCATGAAGTGAAAACAGTAGCAGCAGCAAGAGAAACCTAGCTCCATGTCGTCATTGAAAAAAAAAAAAACAACTAAAATAACACAGAAGGCTAATGGGAAATATCAGTCATACAGCTATGAAAATCAAGTAGGTATCACAACATGAAGATCAGCTGAAATGAAACTCAGGTGAAAGCCACAGGGGGCAAAAGGGAAGATACATTCGATAGCCTGCCAAACCTGAAGAGCTGGGCCATCTGTATGCACCTGACAGTGGCAACACAGGACAGGACTGGGAGACAGTGCCCCTGGTAACTACAGACCCTAGACCACCTGTCTCAGTCCACTTGCTTCTCGAAGTAGAAAATAACCTCAGAGTCACACAGAGCAAATTAATGATTGCACTGGCAGAATCGGTCCAATGGAACTGTTTTGGAACTCTACTGAACTCTACTGAAGGCTTGCAACTTCGAGGGGAAGGCTGTTAATGCAGGGCAGTTCCAGTTCTCAGCACAGTAGCAGCCACCCCTCCTCCACCCCCATTCCCATAGCAGGTGCTGTGCACATGTTCCTGGAGTAAGATCCACAGAGCTTTCAGGAAACAGGATGGCAAAAAGGACCCTGTCCTGCAAATGCTGGGGATATGATTGCTGTGAATCACAGAGGAGCAGACAAAGAAGTGGGTGACCATTGTTAGAAGCTCCTGCCACTTCAGCTGGAGGGACTTAGGTGGGAGACTTAAAAACTGCCACATCCCCCCACCCTCCATTTTTCTCTTTTTCCTCTTTTGGGAGCCAAATGTTACAAACTAGAACATTGTAAAACAACTGCATACATGAGGAAACTTAGAAAATGACTGTGCATGCCCAGGAAAAGGGACAGGCTCGGAAAAGACCTAA